TGAGATCTATTAGATGAATGTACATTGACCAGTTTATCTTTTGATTTGACCCAGTAACCACAAATATATGATTTTGGGAGAAATATTTCCAACTAATAGCCATTTCTCATGTAATGCTCCTCGAATTTCGACCTAACTGCCAAGGACTCGGGAAGTGCTTAAAAGTGCTCGGATGCAATTCTTCTTCTTTGTTATTGACTTTCTATCGGTTCTTCAAGGCAACATTCACTCGTTTGAGCCGTACCGGTGTATACCGTGTTGAGTAGTGGTCTGTTGATATCGTCCCAAGGGTTCTCTCTAGATTCAGGGGGGTGAAAAGAACGGCTGTATTGTTCCTCTACACGATATACCAATTGATTCTTGGTCATGGCTACTCTAGATCATGTTGTCGTTGCTGACGGTTCTTTAAAAAATTAAATCATGACTGATCAATCTACATAAAAGTCTCACAACACACAAAAGTTTTGCCAGAAGAAAATCCGGGCGGATGCCATCGTTGGCAATTGACTAATAGGGTTTAGCGCATCCGCTAAGCCAGGCCACGCTTTTGGAACAACCCAACCTCAACTCCCGAGCTTTGTCCTTCGAATACCCTACCAAATCCCTTAGGACACCAGATTTGCATGATTCTAATATTTTCCTTGAGAAAAGATCGAATCAATTGGAATTCACGATAATTTCTTATGAAAACATGATTATCGCATAATATCCATAAATAGGGGGGCTGATATCCCTGCAAATAACGGTTCTGAATGTTGACATTGATGTTATCTCTTCCTTGAACGTCTGCACTTCTGGTACCTAGTTGAATGCATCACATCTCGAATTGAACATGGCTATATCCCGTCCAATGCCAAATACTTTAACGTTTGTTTCTAATTCTTTCTAATCTCTACTACTCCCTCAATCTTGCTATAAGAGCGTCCTTAGGGGGACCATATATTAGATATATTCCCAATTAAGACTATCATCGGATAGCTAGATTGTTATTCTCCCCCTTAGACTTTCAGTCTGAGATGCTTATTACAAGATTACTGAACACTTGACTTCAAAATTCCTCCTCTCTCCCTCACTCATTCACCACAGCACATTCATCCCCACCCAGGCCAATTCACTTGCAAATTGCTATTTTGAAAGTCAATTTTGATCTTATATTACTCACGCCTACCAGTATCTAGAATGATCTAAATCTCCATTGTATAAATAATAGCTCACTCATTCTCAATATCAAGCACTTAACCTTTCATCCCCAACTCCCCCTACCTTCAATCTTCCTCCCACCCACACAGTTATTCTCACTATCCTGATCTACCTTCATTGGGATCTATACTCTTCTTTGACCATCTTCAACCTTCCTCCCACCTTTCATCTTCTAGCTCGACTTCATACTTTCTAATTCTCAAATATTCGTATAACACGAATCTTTTGTCTAAATTTCGCTTAGGCACTTGTGCGAAATTATCAACTCAAAGCATATTCACAAATGTCATTCTAGACCCTTGCTGCACTATCAATAAAGTCCAAAACTCCTCAGAAACAAAATGGGTATCATTGACTAATCTTAACTTTCAAAATATACAATCAAAAATCCAATCCAGCTTCCCACAACTCCAATTGCCGAGTATGAGCTCGTGAACATCAGCGGCAAAAACTCCAGTTTATTACCAAAGACGATTCGATGTAGCAGCGAACAATATAGTATCAACGGTATGCTAACCGCAATGTAGAGTGTGCTAAATCTATCTAGCAAGAAGATTCTAGATTTTGACGCTGGCGCTAAGCGGTCAAATGCAAGGAGAAACAAGATAAGCCAGAAAATTGTGTACACAATTTTCGTAGGAAATTCCGCGGCCGTAAAAAGCAAAGGAAACAAGGAAACATGACCAGCCACAGCCAATGGTCGAAATGCTCCAAGGAATCGACGATCCTTTAAGGCGATTAGGCTGAAAGGTATAATGACCAGGAGAATTGCTTTTTCGTGAACGTGCCAGCTGAAAAGAAATGAAGAGTAAGCACAGAGGGTTACACCTCCGATGAAATTGTCCCACGTAGGGCTTTTGTAAAGCTTGAACAGTGGAATGAAATCGAAAATGGCTGTCAAAGCGAAAGTCATGCCTTTGGTCACTTCGGGTAATACGGCGAAGGAAGTGTTCCCAACGAGACCACGGGTCACACTATTGACAGCCGTTTGATCAACAGCGAGGCCGAGTTTAGGGGCAACTGTACTCGTATTAGTAACCAAATTGAGAGTATCGAAATTCGAGATTCGAAGTTCGAGCATCTTGAGATTTTGTTTGGGTGAAGAAAGACTTACTAGAAATTAACACTCGATCAGTGAAAGAGTACATAGCCCAGATGTTTGGAGCCCAGTAAGCATGACACAGGCCTCTTCCAAATGGAAATAGTCTGCTAACAATTTGAGGCATTTGACCAAAATATACAAATGGTCCAAATGCAACTCCAAATACTGCTAAAATACTAACTGCCAATTTAAAGGCATTTCCAATTTTTATATCAAACGGACGCTTAGGCCCAAACTTAGGCCCAAGACAGTATCCGGATAACAAAAAGATGAAATATGCTGGCGCAAGATACAGGTAAATGTGTTTGAGGCAAAGCAATATTGCGAAGAGTATACCACTTGCTAGTTTGGTCCCCTCATTTCTAGCCATGACTAAGGACAATAAGAGGAGACCGTACATAAAACCATTATATTGGAAGTGGATATGATCGATAATGAGTAAACCTGGCGAGAGTAGAATTGAAAGGGCCGCTGCTTGTGAAGGTCGTTTTAAATTGGAGGGGGCAGTCTTCACAAAGCTTGGGGATGTCAATATTGAAATGAGTCGAGGATCAACATCACTTACAGGTGAAGCGCATATACCAAAACTAACTCTGTTGCAATGACACTTGCGCGTTGGAAGTAAATGGTTTGCCAGCTGTCATACTCCAGATTCTTCACCACCAACATCAACGGGTCAATCCATTCTGCGAACTTTGATAGGAACAATTCGAAATATGCGAAGAAGGGTGGATAATCGAGAGTCCATTCTGAAGTCTTTTCGATATACCACTCGTTCAATGGCAAACTATTCGTGATGGCGAGCCAATTTCTATGAACTTCAAAGTCTGTAGACTTGCTGCGATATCAGTCAGTACCCTAGTCCCATTGAAAACTGGACGAAAGTCGGTTTGTGGAGGGGAGGATAGAGAGAACTAACTATGCTGGAAACAACAATATCTTGAAAGCCGTAGCTACCACTGCACATTGTGCAATTGAAGGATATAATTCTGCCATCTAGTCATACCCCATATGAAGATCGGATTGTGTGAAATTGCTTTTGTATGAGAGGGAACTCGATTCCAATGGATGAAATGGAATTGTGGTCTCAAAATCAATCCATGTGAAGTAACATCTTGGTTCCACTACATGACGGAATTTCTAAATGCCGACATTTATATTTGGAGCGACTCGGTAGCTGGGAATTTCAATTATTTACTCGTTGATAGCTGGGTATGTGTATGCTCTCTTCAATATTCGATATCAAATCAGAAAATTGAGATATTTAATTCAAATTGAGATCGAGGTATTGAATAGCTGTTGGTGTATTCCGAAGTAGTAATTTTTGTATTTTTTTTTTATACTGGATATTAATGCTGTAATTTGATCTTTAAGTATCAATATCAATGTCAATATGAGTGTGAATATTAATGTCAATGTTTTCAATATATATATGGTTTTGAATGAGTAAAGAGTATATAATGTGAATAAGGTGTGAATGAAATGTGAGTGAAATATAAGTGAAATATGAGTGAGGTGTGAGTGAGATGTGAGTAAGGTGTGAGTGAGGTGTGAATGAGGTGTAAGTGAGGTGTGAGTGAGGTATGAGTGAAATGTGAGTGAGATGTGAGTGAGGTGTGAGTGAAGTATAAGTAAAGTGTGAGTAAAGTGTAAGTAAGATGTGAGTGAAGTGTGAGTGAAGTGTGAGTGAGGTGTGAGTGAGGTATGAGTGGTGTGAGTGGTGTCTCGAGTGTGTACCGCTTTTTCTGTCTTCTCCGTACATCGACATGGAGAAAATGCCGAAATCCCAAAGCTCTTCCCCTGGTACATTCTGACACCAAGACATCAAAAACTCATTCGAAACAGCCCACCAAACAAGGATGATAGAAACATCAGAAACACCACACCAGAAATAACCAGAAACACCAGAAACACCAGAAACATCAAAACCTTCCCAGACAGAAACAATCCATAGAAGGCGAGAAAGCTTCCATCCGTTCAGAGAAGCCTTTCTACCAATCCTCCTCCCGCACTCCTCCCATATATCCCCAACTCCCCGTCGCAACAACATGGATCCAGCTTTTGTCCCATCGGAAATAGCTCTACGACATATCATCAATCATAAATTCACCATAGAAATTGGCCCTTCCATTCAATCATTGGGGAAACCCATTCGCAATCTGCTTCTGACTCTGGTGGGAATTTATTGTGTAACCAATATAGTTCAAAGTACATTGCAATCTGTCTTCCACTTGAACCGAAGCCGAAAAGAAGATTAAGCTGTGTCTCTATCATTGGGTGTATCTATTCTTCTTCCATATGGTATCTCACATCGAAAATCGAAAATTGTTCCGTTTCCTTCAAATTTCAAAAATCAAAAGTTCAAACCGCAAATTCCGCAAATTTCTCCCGCGAGAAAGTGGCCTGGGGGTACGGAACGGAGTACGAGCGAGCCATTGATCAATTAATCCTGCCAAGTGTCTACATCAATAATATTAAACACAGTTATTCGGAAGGTTACATACAGTAAGGATTTAAACCCTTTTGATCGTACTCGTCCATTCATTGTCTGTCCTCTTCATGAACATTTGAATCTTCCTCCTGGAATTGAGGAAATTATCTTCAAGGACGCTGGCAGTTCTTATTCTTATTCGGGGTGGTTACAAAAGAACAACTTTAACTCGTCAAGAATTAAGGAAAGTTCTCGAGTGTAAACACAATGTATTTCTTCAAAGCATCCCTTACTTCAGTCGCCGCATTCGTCGCATATACCCAAGCTACATATCTTAATAACGATTTAAGTTTCGGTCATGATGGAAAGTAAGTCTATGTCAAGAATTCAATCTCCTCGTGTCCATGATAATATATGTATTAACAATTCTAGGATCTCTCCAAATGGTCGCGCCATTCCCAATTTTCATATGATAGGACAGCCAAACTATCCAGATATCCTCAGTAATCGAATCGTTCTTACACCACCTGCACCAGGAAATCAAAGAGGTGCTGTATGGACGGAAAAGAAGTTGCAACATTCACAATGGGCAGCAGATATCGAATTTCGTGCTACTGGTCCGGAGAGAGCAGGTGGTAACTTGAATATCTGGTATGCTAAGAATGAGGATATCAAAGTCTCAAGCATATACACGGTCGGAAAGTTTGATGGGTTAGCTTTGGTTATTGACCAATATGCTGGATCTGTAAGTTTCTGTATCTGCGATCTACCTTGCGCAAAATATTAATATCATTTAGGGTGGTTATATTCGTGGATTTCTGAACGACGGTACAACTGAATACTCTTCTCATCACTCTGTCGATTCCCTCGCATTTGGCCATTGCCCCTATTCCTACCGAAACCGAGGTATCCCATCCAAAATTCATATCCGCCAAACTGCCGATAACTTCAAAGTCGAGGTTGACGGTGCCTTGTGTTTCCAATCCAATAAGATCAAGCTACCTTTAGGTTATGTCTTTGGAGTTACTGCCGCTTCTGCAGAAAATCCAGATTCTTTTGAAATCTTCAAATTTGTCGTTACAACCGATTCCCATACTCCAGATGATCAAATTCAAAATCCAGGGAATCAAAATCAACAACAATTCCAAGCTGCCAATAATCCACCCCAAGCTGCCAATAATCCACCCCAACAACAGCAAAACCAACATGGTCAACAACAAAATCAAGGAGGACTTACCATGGATACACCTGGCGAAACTCCCGCATCAGACTATAAATCCTCGGATGCGCAATTCGCAGACCTCCACAATCGTCTCCAAGCAATGATGAAACATATCACAGCTCTTAACCGCGATTTCTCTCAATACCAAGCAAACTCCATTTCTCGTCTTGAAGCTCTTAATGGAAATCTCAATACTCTCTCCTCCACAATCTCTAGACTTGAATCCTCTCTCTCAAAGCTCGATTCTGTTTCTGGTCTGGAAAGAAATCTGAGAGAGGTAGCCAGTGATGTTAAGAGCACCAAAAAGGAATTACATGAAGCATTGGATGCGCATGTATTAAGTTTGAAGCAGAGAGTGGCGGAAAGTCATGGCAGTGTACTTGGAACGGTGGGAGAAGGATTGAAAAATCATAGATCAGGGATCGGATATGCGGGATTGGCGTTTGTGGTGGTGGGTAGTCAGGTCGGATTGATTGTCGCTTATGTGTTGTACAAGAAGAGGAAGAATGGGGGACATAAGAAATATTTGTGAGGTTGGGAATGATGGATGATGAATGATGGAAGAGGAGGGTTAGGGAATTGTATATTATAGTATAGGGACTGAAGGTTTCGGAGGCGGAAATGCAGCGTCAACTCGTACCTGGGAGAGATGGATAGTAGAGTATGTAGTGCAAGGGATTGGAATGGAAGTAGTGTAGAGAAAATATCATGTTTCAGTATTTACATAGTATACACGACTGACCATATTGGAATTTGTATTTATTTCTATCTATGTGTGTTTCGTATGTAGGTATATATCTACTTGTTCATTCATTTATTTCATTCATTCATTCATTCATATAACGTTTGGAAACAATTTTCCATCTCTGATCTACTACTTGTCTTTTAACTTGTCAGCTTATAAGGAAGGTTTTATTCGAGTTTTTGCTGGATGCTGGATGCTGGATGCTGAATAAAATAGAAATAAGAAAAAGAGAATGAAAAAAGAATAACATAAAATCGAAATAAAGAAGGGGATGGAAAAAAAAAGGGAATAGGAATAGAAAAAGTAAAAAGGGAAAAGGAGAAAGGGAAAAGGGAAAAGGAGAAAGGAGAAAGGAGAAAGGGAAAAGGAGAAAGGAGAAAGGACGAAGGAGAAAGAGGGGAGAAGAGGGAAAACTGAAAGAATACATAACTAGTATGAGTCGTATCCTGGGATATACATAAAAGTATATAAGGTTAAGTATGCAATAGGGTGGGTATAAGGGTATACGATTATAATTATACAAAGTGATTGTATGATATAATATAGATTGAGACAATTATAGGGTTCTTGAAAGGGGGGGAGCTCCGGAGGTTGGTACGATTTTGAATATGAATATGAATATGAATATTGCTGGGTGCTGGGAATAGGGAGGGATGTGGAATGGTGTGTGGGATTTTGAATGTGGATTTTGGATTGGTGGTTTGGATTGGTGTTTTGGATTGGTGTTTTGGATTGGTGGTTTGGGGGGAGGGGGAGTGTATGTTTGTTTGTATTGAGGATTAGATATTGGGGATTGGCGATTGAAATTCACATTAGGATTTAGAATTTGTGTGCTGGAAGTGAGAAGTGAGTAGATTTTGTAGATGAATGGATGGATGGATGGATGGATGGATGAATTTGTTCTTTTGAATTTCAATTTTCTATCTAGATGTACGAGTGTAGTAAATTAGTAAAGGTAGATAGGTAGTGGGTTAGTAAGTAGGTAGGTGTGGGTAGATAGATGGCTTCTTTGAGATTTGCTTATAGATTCTATGTGTCTCTGCTGGTGGAGGTGGTCGTGGTGGATGTTCATGTCAATACTACTACTGCTATGCATGGTTGAGTGATGCGGAAGACAGACAGAAGTGGAGGAGATATAAGTATATTCAGCCTCTCTCGAGAATGTAAATGTAAAAGTAGGGTCTTCGAGTACCCAAGTCATATAAATCTAATTATCTACGGTCATATAACATAAATCTACACCAACACAAAAATCCTATCAATCTTTAAAAGCAAGAATGATGTAAACAATCTTACGCCTTTCCTGTATAATGCAATAAAATATCCTCCCATCCTTCTATTTTCATAAGCGGGGAATGTCTAGCGGAAAGCTTGACATGTGAAAACGGATCACCTCCTATTCAGCCCCCTTGGTCTTCTTAGTCCTCAACTTCATCAACAAGAACACCAGCGCATATCCACTGAAAACAAACAGCGCGCAAATTCCCGCATCCCTCCACCCATAGGTATAGGTCTTCAAATTCAAGGTTTGCAAATAATCGGTTCCGGTTGTGTACTCACAAACTTTGCATCCCTCTGTCGCATCTGGGTTTATCAGATTTGCCGCTGCCCCCATGCCCTGCATGTACGAAGCTAGATACTCGCCACAGGTACCATTGGCAGGGTTGAAGATGGCGAACTCGGATTCGCGACATGTGACGGGGTGATCCCAGGTGGAGAAGACGAGGAGAGAGCCCATGAGATAGTTGAAGGGATTGAGGTAGTACAGCCAGTATCTCCAGAATTCGGTGATTTGCGCATATGGCACGAGAACACCACAGAAAGAGACCAAGGTTCCGATGACGAGAGGGTTGACCAGCGAGGCGAATACTTCGTTTGGTGCGTACGCGGCGACGAATTGGCCAATTCCGGTGTAGATGAATTCATAACAGATCATGACGAAGAGAACGGATCCTGCTCTGTGGGAATCGGATGGGAATCCAACAGTGTAGTACCAGCAGACGTAATAGAGGATAGCGCAAACAACAAGGTAGGGGAGTTCGGAGACAACGTTTCCGGTAGCAAAGGCCCACCAGGAATACATCTTTGATTTTTTCTCTCGCACTTCGTAGATATCTCTTCGTTGGATGAAAAGTGGTTGCAGTTGAGCCATGACACCCGGTGCGACGAAAATGAAGTTGAAAACCGTGAAGAGACGTAATTGTAGATCGCCGACCGAATCTTTGATCATCCAGAAACTGAATCCGTTGAAGAGTGCAGATCCAATATGCAATGCGAATTTGTTGTTGATGTAATCTGTATTGCGGTAAATGGATACATTCATGCGCTGGGTGACAAGTTTGAGTTGTTGCCACATGGGGGTTGCGAATTCAAAGCCATCGTCGGTTGTTCCAGGGGGTGCAGCGGCAGCAGTGTCAATGATTCGATCGAGTTCCTTAACCGTGTATTCATATTCGGGTGAGTTGAGCCAGACATTATTCCAATCTTTTCCTTTACTCAAAGCACCGGAAACAACGTCAATCATGTGTTCAGCGGGATTAGAAGATTCGGGACAAGGGGCATCGTAACGTGCGAAGTATTCCTTGATGGTTTTGGAATCCTCGCCGATGTCGCCGAAATAGACGGTCTTACCTCCCTTAGCGAGGAGCAAGAGAGAATCGAATTGAGAGAAGAGTTGAGCGGAAGGTTGATGGATAGTAACCAAGATAGCTTGACCGGCATCCGCCAACTTCCTCAAGAAACGCACTGTATTGAAAGCAGCTTGACCATCCAGACCAGAAGTTGGCTCGTCCAAGAAAATGAGAATAGAGGGTTTAGAGACTAGTTCCACGCCAATCGTCAAACGTTTTCTTTGCTCGACACTCAATCCTGCTCCGGTTTTGCCAATCAACGTGTTCTCCATATCGTGCATTTCCAAAAGATCAATAATCGTATCGACATATTTCAATTTCTCGGCGTCGGGGACGGTTCTTGATTGTCTGAGAAGGGCAGAGAATTCTAAGGCTTCGCGTACGGTGGCAAGTGGTTCGTGTACATCCAATTGCTCGCAATAGCCTGCCGAACGTTGAAACGAAACAGTGAGAGGTCGGCCATCAACGAGGATAGAACCCTTGATAGTACCATCTGTCTTGCGTTGCGCAAGTACGTCAAGGAGTGTCGTTTTTCCGGCTCCAGATGATCCCATAAGTGCACCCAACATACCCGGTTTAACCCAACCTTGTACATTGTCCAGGAGAACACGATCGCCGGATGGAGTTTTAACAGTATAGGTAAGGTTCTTCCAGGTGAAGACAGAGGTGTTGCGCATCAATTGATTACTGGCTTCGTCTTCCACTTTGGTATCTTGAGACGTGGGGCGAGAATTCTCTTGACGTTTTTCCTGGATACCTTGAGATTCCTCATCGCCTGCATTGGCAGCCTTGAGAACTGCAGTATTTTTGTGGGCCTTCTCTCTTGGGATCAACAAGACTCCTGATTTACCTCCATTCGCACTCCAGTTGCTTGTGGAATAGATGGTTAGAGCAACAAACAAAAACCAGAAAGCCCAAATAATACCAAAGTTTCTCCAGATGTTGCTCGAAGAGTAAGAGAGTGAGTTAAGATACTGTTCTCCAGTAACACTGGTAGCTCCAGGTAGTGCTCCTCCCACACCAGCACAAGCTTGGAACGTCAAATCTGCGTATCCCGGTCCATTAGGCACCAAATTATTCGCAACACAAGGAATAATCTGATCCTTGAATTCGTTCGCCAGAATGGCCGAAAAGCCATAGGCAAGAGGGTCGATCCAATAGATCCACACGAACCAAGGATGCATGTCTGGTTTCCTAATCATGTATCCCGTGTACATAATCAGAGCACTGATCAAGAACCCAGACACTTTACTCGCGGCGTCGAATGTGGAAAATCCAGCACCGATGGCGCGGAAAAGTGCAGTCACGCACATGGTCGCTGCGAAAATAAGAATCCAATAAGTGAAGAATGCACCGGCATCTTGACGCAATCCAACCATGAAATACATGACGAGTGAGAAGTGCGAGATTTGCACGAACAGAACGGGGATGTCAGCAGCGATTTGAGCGATACAGAAGGCGGCTGGATGGTAGAGTGCAAATGCTTTATGTTTAGCGAGGACAGGACGACCAGAGAATGAATCAGTGACTTCGGACATGGCGAGGAGAGCATTGAAGAGGAGAGAGAGGAAAAGAGCACCAGATTTGACAAAGAGACCGCTGGAGTTGGCAGGGGCATTGTAAAAGAGAGAACCGGCGATGAGAGCTTGAACGAGAGTAGAAAGTTGTTTGATGATGAAGGTTGCTTTGTCTCCCCAGATGATTTGATATTGACGAATAACGCAAGCTTTGACTTGGACCATGAAACTAGTGGTGAGAGGAGAATTCTTGCCGAGTTTAGGACTCTTTTCGTATTGTACAGATGTGCGGAAATCCTCGGTTCGTTGTTTGGCAATTGCGGTAGTGGGATAGTCGTATTCTTTTTCCATTTCGTTCTTGATGGGATGGTTACTGTATGCAGCGAGAATCTCACCGGCGGTTCGGGGGAATCGATTGTGGAATTCATCTCTGATTTTGCGCTCAGTTGGTACCTGGAGTAAGATGAGATTAGTATGAAAATTGAATGTGATGATGAGAGAAAGAGCATACCGTAACACCGGTCAAGAAATCAGCAACATTAGCAGAATCATCACAGATGAAACCCAACTCCTCCATAAAAGGTCTTGCCTGTTTCCTTGGTCCATAATAGATCTGCTTGCCCTCGTCCAAAACCAAAACTTTATCAAAAAGATTATAGATACCATTACCAGCTTGATAAAGCGTAACGATACTGGCCAATCCAAATATATCCGTCAATGCTCTAATAGCTTTCGTGTATTCCAAAGCGGTACTAGCATCCAAACCTCTTGTCGAGTTATCCCAACACATTACACTTCCTCTGGAGGCAAGCATCTCAATAATCGAAACACGTTTACGCTCACCACCGGAAACACCTCTCACATACTCATTTCCCACTTTGGTCTCGTGAGTGTGCGAGATACCCATACTCCTGAGTAGGAAATCGCGATTTGCTTGCTGATATTGCTCGGGGGTACTGACGTCTGAAGGTAAATGGAATGGAACCTTCATTCTCGTGGCGAAATCAATGGTTTGTCCGACAGTGAGGGTAGGGAAGAAAAGTTCTTCTTCGGTATTCATGACGATTTGTCCTCGGTATTGTTGTGCTTCAGTATGGGTCAATGATCCGAAATGTACATCACCCGTGACCTCTGCATATCCGCCTCGATTGTTTGAAAGCATCTTCAGTAGAGTCGTGCATCCAGCTCCAGGTCTTCCAAGAACCAATAACATTTCTCCGGGTTTAACGCATCCATGAGCATTGTCGACGAGAGTCCTCAAAGGTGGTTTTGCTCGTCCGTCTTTGATTATTTGGGGAATGTTGAATTGCGATCCAACATTCTCATTGATAGCTGCATCAGCTCCAATGCCCTTGACCGTTAAATTCTTCCAAGTTACACCAAGATCTCTTCCTTTGGCTTGATCTTTTTCACTCTGCTGTCGCATAGCTTGAAGTTCAGGCATCAGGCTCCAATCTTCAGCCATACTCTTCTCGCCCTTAACATCTTCATCGGAACTATCGTAAGCTCTCTGTCGTTTTCGATCCGAGAAAGCGGATGATGATGAAAGTGCTCTTGTGAGTGCACCTCCATGTCCTTCGTGTGGTCGAACAATCGAGGAGAAACCCTCAGGTTCAGTGGCTGCCATGATGGCAATTGAAATCTTGATGTGGAACTACCAATTGGTAGAAAGCAATGAATTAAAACAAAAACAGTGTATATAAAAAATTACTCGGAATAAAAGGTCCTCAAATAGAAGTTGCCAAAAATTAATACGTAGGAGGCTTATTAGATACCTTCCAACAAAGGAGCAGTGAATAATTAAGTAGTATTTCCAATATTAGATCGGAAACCCCTTGATGTAAATATTCAGAAATCAAACCCACAAAAAGAAACCAACGAAAAATTAAAATACCGAAACTACGAGCTGTATTCGAAGTATACGAATTATCTACGCCAAAATGCAATCGGCCACTCATCAAATTTTCCTTTTCCACAATCCTCTCGGACAACCAGAATACCGACAGTGCGTGAGGCACGGGCTAACCCCAGGTTGACTTGTATGACAATAACAATCAACTTTACTTCGAAACGGAAACTTTCCCATAGATTAAGCGGATGATTAAGCGGATGATAAATCTTATATCGGTCAATATTATTAAAGTAAAAACTCAAATAAAAATGAATGCAGATAAAGGCTTAAGACCGAGAGCCAACACTTTTAGGTTTTAACAAAGGGACCAGCCCTTCTCCCTTCTCCCTTCTTCCTTTCCCTCAAGTAAAAAGTAGCTGTTCTCGCTGTTGTACGCGAGACTAAGTTCTCAGTACTTCACAGAATTGTCCGCAGAAGTCCGAGCAAGACCTCGTTCTAGCGTTGATTGCTGCATTGCTCCATCATTTCAAGGCATTGAACAGCCCTACCGTGATCTGTCAAATCAAAATGAAGTACCATGCTCATCAGATATAGGCTGTTATCTAGAAATCTAGAGCCAAGATGCAATGTGAGATCTATGAGGTCAAGACTATAACTGCTGAGTAGATTCCAGTTTGTCAAAACCATCAAAACTGTTGATTGTCTCATCTTTATTTTCAAAAACTAACTTTTTTTGACATAACATTGACCGTCCAAACTTCAATGCCATCAATGGTACGAGTGAATAGGAGGGGGATTAGTGATACACAAATCGAAAATGTTGTTCTCACCGTAATCCCGTTCCTCCCTCCCCTTATCATTTTCCGTCCGAACTTCACTAACATGTCGTTTTCTGTCTGCCTTACCTCCGCACCGTGAGTAATCTAATATGCTCGAATTCACCTATCTCCGTCCCGATAAGAAGATTAACAAAGGGGCTACTCAGCCTCTAAATATCAATTAACTCCTAGTGCATACGTGCAACGCAGTCTTCAAGCCTAGAATTGTTCTTCAGCATCCAACAGATAAACAAAAAGGAATCTTGGTACTTGGCAACGGAAAATCCAAAAAGCCCGTGATTTCCGTGCTGTGTCACTACTAAGCCTAGTTAGCATTAGCTCGTATATCCTTGTTCGTACTCGCGGTAGTGCATCATTACGGACTATCAATTATGCGTTGGAATTTCCGTAGAAGCTTTTCTTAGAAATGCGTTTGCTTCCGTACACCGTGTTGCTCAAATAAAATCGATTAATTGCGCAATCATTAATCCGTATACGACTCACTGTCCCAAAAGAAACATATATCGTACACGATAGGGAGTTCGGAATGAATTGTAAACTCGCTAGTTTAGCTAGTCGCTTCTTATGGCTAAGCGCCAGATGAGAAATCCCACCACACTATCCGTAACAGCGCATCACTTAACACCCCACTTGGTTGTCAAAAGTCCACCATACGGAGTAATCTTTTCTCTTAGTTTATCTACTGTATATATACCAGAAAACGTAGTTGCTTCCACAACAAGATTGGGCTTCTGGCGCAATGGCAACGCGTTTGACTTCGACTTCTGTTAGAAATAACAGTCCTCTCCATCAAAAGATTGCAGGTTCGATCCCTGCGGAGCTCATTCTCCTTTTGAGAGTGTGGAGGTCCAGGAGCTTCGTTTTGCAGTTGAAATTGTGCAAATTAGTTAAGATTTGAGGAAGTTGTGAGAATGTGAAGTTTTTATGACGGGAGTATGTTTTTGCCATACCAGTGAGTATTTTTCCAGATGATACCTTTGAAGCTAATCCAGGGCTATTCTTTGATATAAAAATAGTCACAATTAGTTGAAAATTGCATATGTAGTGGTGTATTGAAGTTTGGGTATTTGTGAGGGTTGGATTTCGTTATCCATCCACCCTAACCATTGTACACAACAGTTTGAGACTTTGAATGGACTTCCCTTGGGCAAAATATCTAACGATTGAACAAATTTCGTATCAGACCCAGCTCAGACTTAAACATCGAAACAAAAAGTACAGGTGAGTTATGATTATTAACTATCAATTTTGGATCTCAAGTGACACTTGTCAGATTTCCACTTGAAAACTGAAGCGTATGGCAAAACCATTCGAGCCATTCCACTGTGGTAGAACCAATATCTTGAGACTCGATTTCGATATCTCATTTATTTGGTATGGTTCATCCGTGAATGTCAGCTCCTTAGGTTACACGCGTAGATGATACGTTTTTTGCCAGAGGTTATGACAGCATTTCGTCTCCTTTTTCAAGAGCTGTACTATTCAAGTTGAGACTTCAAATAATAGACAAAATTCAATTGCATCTAAAAGAAATTCAATTCTCATTGTTTGTCGGGAGCAAACGATTAAGTATCAATTTGCACGGATCTCGGATCCCGTGCATCCGGCCTATACACAGGGAAAAAAAGATACCAAAATTAATCACCCCGATAAATTCTACAATAAAATTATGAGAGTTCATAGTAATAAACAAAGTTTTGAATAGTCTTCAGTTATGATATACTTAAATTTTTGATTCTTCGAATTGAAATGGAATAATTGGATTGTTGAACGGGTTTCGCGAGTGGTCAATTCCAGTTGATTTTTCTCCTGTGAATAGCCGGCATATTCTTTCGCTCCACAAGAAATTAGTCCTTGAGTCAACGTTCACAATTTCGATCTAAATATACAGTATTTCATATGTCCATATTTCTTCCACACTCTTATTAAAGAAACTCTGATCATAATTTCTATTCTTCGAGATGGAAAATCTCTCTTCCCGATGTCTTCAAAACGTCTCGTCGGAAGAAATCCGAAATTTCATGAGTACGGTATTTGGAAATCCTTGGTCTGAAGGTAATCCAGATGGTATCTTTCCTATGGGTATTGCAGAGAATAGACTCATGTATGTTTGATCCTATATTTGAAATCGGTTCTCCATCCTAGCTGTGTGGTTGACAGTTATGGAAATTTAGGCATGACGAAATCGCAAACTATATAAACTCGAATTTCCGGGCAACCCCAAAAAGTACCTCGTTGCATTTCCTCTTTCTATATCATCCGAAAATAAGCAAGTTCTAACAAAATACAGTGCTCACATATGGAGATGGACCAACCGGTTCTTTTGAATTACGTGCTGCTCTCGCCACATTCTGGAACTCAAATTTCTCACCAAAGGAATCTGTATCGAGGGATCATGTAACAGTTATGGGAGGAGGCTCTTCTATTCTTGATGCATTAAGCTATTGTATCGCCGAAGAACATGAAGGGTTTTTAGTTGCTCAACCTTTTTATGTTGGATTTGTTGGAGATTTTGAAGATCGTGCTAGGTGTGTTTTGTCTGTCATCCTATCTACTGTAGTTTTTATGCTCACTCGAAAGTAAAGAGTCAAAGTGGTTCCAGTACCGATCGGTGCACTCGAAGATGTGACTACCATGGCTGGAGTCGAGAAACATGAAGAAGCACTCATTGTCTCGAGAGAGAAGGGTGTAAAGATTCGGGGACTCATGCTCTGCAATCCTCACAATCCTCTTGGAAGATGCTATGCACCAGAAGTCTTGGAAGCATATCTTTCTCTCTGCTCAAAATACAATATTCACCTTATAAGTGATGAAGTATATGCGATGGCTGTTTTTCCAAATCAGGATATACCGAATCCAATGTCTTTTACCTCGATACTTTCAATAGATATTGGGAAGTTCTGTGATCCGGCCTTGGTTTGTGTGATCTATGGTATGAGTAAGGTATGTATTGACTTTGAATCTAGGCAACTACGAAGATTCCAATGCTGATATATATTGTCATAGGACTTCTGCTCGAATGGCCTACGTATTGGATGTATCATCTCACAACATAATCCCACTCTCCATCGTACTCTAGGAGCAATATCAAAATTCGCTTGGGCATCTTCATTGTCTGATCACGTATGGACATTAATGTTGAATGATCAAAAGTTCCTAGATTATTATTTCTCAACTCTTGCTCAAAAAATGAGAAATGCGTATGAGCTCTGTACCAGGCGATTGAAAGAATTCGGTATTTCGTATATTCCTGCGTAAGCACACATTTCCTTTTCAACTTTCATCACGGGAGAGAGAGACTAATGAAAATTACGAAATACAGATCTTGCGGTCCTTTCATTTGGATAGATCTCCGTTCATATCTTACAATCCCGACAATCGAGGCAGAACGTATACTCTCGTGGAAGATGTTGAAACATGGGATTTGGTTAGCTACAGGTGAAGCCTTTGCATCTGAAGAGCCGGGTTGGTATCGTATTACTTTTGCCATGGACGAGAAAGATTTGAGGTTTGGTATGGATAGGTGAGTTGCTACTCTTTCCTTGGAAATTAGTTGTGACGAGAATTGGATTAACAATTGGGATTCTGTGCTAATTCATTACTCGTAATTTAGATTATGGAAAGTCTTGAGTATTGTGGAAGAAGGTAAGACACAATCTTTATTAGAAACACAAAACTGAAGTAGAGTCGTTGGCAAGAGTAGATCAACATGTAGATCGAGATATTGAACAGGAATACCCAGGATTTTCTAAATCTTCTCATCTTATTTCAAGAGAAAAACCCATCTCGCATTCGCTGTACAATAAATAGAACATTAGAATATGCTTGCTTCGGTTTACTCTTGATAATAGAAAACTCCGTGATCGTTAGAAATCCGAAGAGTGTGCAAAATAGATAAAGATGATACACAAATGTTAGATACAGGCACGAAAGACTACCAAAGACATGTAAGGAATATGATGATATCTACAAACAGCTGCTTTTTGGGGGCTGCTTCACTTCACTTATATCCTGTTATATCGGCGATATCTAACCCCACCAACCCCACTCAAATGGTAGATCTCATTTCAATTTGCAAGTATGAAAAATATAGTAAAAATGGAATTGTTCTTCAACAAACAACGCCCGTTTGGCTTAGCGGTAAAGCGCATCACTAGTAATGATGAGATCCTAGGTTCGATTCCTAGAACGGGCAATCGTTCACAAGATATCGAGAACTCTTTTGCTTTTTTTGCCTTGGACACCATCGATTCTGTCAAGAGCTGAGTCAGGCACAGGCACCAACATCAAACCTGATAAACAGAGATATTCTTTTTTATCACAATGCTCTTCAGCCAATAAGCAGAGTCAGATCATCTTGAAAAATAGTGGATCCAACTCGATATTTGATTTGTTTACAGAATTTGTGCATATCGATTGATTAGGTGGGGTAGACGCACTAGCCCGAGCCCCTGACGATTCGCTACACCTGCCGCTACGCCCCGCTTATATTTTGCACCACACAAACACAACATTTGAAGAAATTTAGTGTTCGTTCTAGATTCTCCACATGCATATGTTTGTTTGACCTATCATACACATTGCTTGTATTCACTGATCTCATTCAATGTCTTCTTGCGCTCTCCCACAGACCAAAAGTCGAAAAAATAACCTCCTGGACAAGAAATCTGAAATCTACCTTAGAGGATCACAAAAAGACAAAAAGATTGCTCTCATGAGATCAGATACTCTCTGACGGGGAGTCGAACCCCGGTCTCCTTGCCAGATGATGACAAGCGGAAATCATGACCGTTAGACCATCAAAGATGTTGTATATATTGTATGTGCGAGAATGGACAGGCTATGTAGGAATGTTTTCAGTTCTGGAAGGCTAAAGTGGGGTAGTTATCTGGACATCCATTCCATTTGGAACTAGATCTTGAACCTTGTGGCAAGAATTCAAGAGTTCTAGACCTAATAAGTAGTTGCTGTTGCATTACCACAAAGTCTAAAAAGCATATTCCTTACACGTTTAGGGATTCTATGCTATCAACATTGCCTAGGTAACCACATATGCACAATCTTACATCCCATAAAGTTCCCTCCTTCCAACAATCATGAGCAGTAGCCTCGCACACGCTTTTTTGAACGAGACTGAATGCCTCTCATGTGATCCATCGTTATAAAGCTTCGAAGTCAAGATAAAGCTTTTCCTGAACAATATGGACTTGTAAGGAAATCGTATATATATATATGTAAAAAACCGTTAATGAGAATTTAAAACCACATGCACCGCCGACATCGATAAAAAGACACAGCTACTGTATTCAATACGTCTATGAAACTCTCTAGACCAGTCTCACTGTATCTCACCATCCCAAGCATCGTCTTCCAAATATTTGTCCTTCGCGGTATGGATACTTTCGACTATCTAATTATCAATTTCATCTCATTCATCATTGTTCTTCTGTTAACCTTAAGATTCTAACGTTTTCTGTTTACGATACTTCCAAGTTCCAATTTAGATAAACCAGTCCCCATTCTTCTACTTATGTATAATTTTCAAATTCCTATTGTGCAACAACTTATAGAACCAGCTGTGTGTGAAATTCCAGAAAGGTAGAGAATTGCCGATATGGAAATTGGCCACAGTATATACAATCTCATCCTACTTAACCAATCGCTCCAATAGACTTCGAGCAGATACTATCAAAAAGCAAGCCAGCTCTGGGTGAGGATAAACACTATCAAAATAATAAAGATACCAAGAGATTTAAGAGTATTGAAAAGATATCGAATCTTAGAATCTTGGATTCGATAAAAAAGAAATTAAGAAAATTGTAAGATTAATAAAGAAATTTATTAAAAAAGGTAGAAAGATATTGATTCGAAAAATATCAATCTCAAATAATAGATTATTATTTTAGTTCAATTTTTTATAAAAGTTATTGAAAAAGAATAAAACTTTCGATTTGATTGATGATAAAGAGAATCTTTATTTAGAGATTAAAAAATTGATTAAATCTCAAGGGGAAGAGGAAGAGGAAGAGGAAGAGGAAGAGGAAGAGGAAGAGGAAGAGGAAGAGGAAGAGGAAGAGGAAGAGGAAGAGGAAGAGGAAGAGGAAGAAGGGGAATATTAGATCTTTAATAGAATCTGATATATAATCAATCAATCGAGCATCTCATTCTTTTCCTGAATTCCATTTAGGTATTATATTGGAAATATGGAGCAATGTTTATGAGAGAGAAAGCAGAAATTATAGGCAGGTAGGTTGATAAATCCTTTCTATATAGATCGTTTTATCGTATTGGTAACCCCAAGTTGATATAAATGAGAGATTACTGTATATACTATTCACATCTCTATCATTTAAATCGATGCTCTCCCACACAAGTTTCCACACTGAGTCTAAATCCTCATCTCAGTATCGCTGCTCACAACCTTCCCTCATCTTATCACAAATCTTCAACTCCCTACAAACCACAATCGTAAACCCATAGCATACTTCACATTCCCGCCTCGACTGTCTGTCCAACAGCCAATTTCAAAACCTGCTTATCATCCGAGTGAGTAGTTTCATATCCCGGTTCTAGACCAGGCTCAGATGGTTTGACTGGCTCGGATCCGTAATCTTTGGGTGTTTCAACTGGAACATGTTCGCAGAGGGCGAGATAGGTTGTTGGCAGGCAAATTACTAATATCCGGTTAGTGAATGGAGGTATTAGGACAGGGAAAGGGAATGAGAGGATAGCAGAGGGAATGCGTAATGGGAGTGGAGATGGTAAGAGGGAAAGCAAAAGGTAGGTACGAGGAGAACAAATCTGCTGGAGTAGGGAGATGAATAGAAAACGAACCAAGTAAGATAGTATTCACAACCATTGGAACACGACCTCTATACCAATCTCTCGTGTTGATACCGAAAGAGACAGCTTGGGCGAAACTTTCTTGACCACGAAGAATTCCTGTAAAGCGTGCTTTGTGACTGTTAGTGTCATATCATATTGAGACATCTGAACTCAAATGTCCGAGAAAATATTTCGAGATGGAAACTTAACGTACATAATTCTGAAATGTTATCCGTTTTAGTGGATACGAAATAGTAGAGCCAATTTTGCAGCGACTGTTGTGAAAAAGCTGTGGATGGCGTGTATCATTAGCAGCTAGTTCTTTCTGATCATATAGTATTGCCTTGGAAGGGTTTGAAGAGAGGGTTACATACACCATAACAAGATGACAAAAAACCCCTTTGTGAATTCTCCATCGGTCCAATCGAGATCAGGTTGTTCAGCACCGAATTTCTCATTGACAACCCAGGCGTATATCCAAGCTACGATATGCCAGAAAATCACATAGTAGAAACTTTTTATACCTGTTAGTAGACGGAATTTGATGGATCTTGAAAATTTTGGCTGGTAGAAAGTGAAGAGATTGGGCGGTAGACATACCCGATATTGAGGCGTTGCTTGACTGAGATTTTCTTGTAATCAAGTAGCGTACTCATGATTTGTGATGCGAACAAATTGGCAAAATTTCCTGTTCATCGTTAGAACTGTGAAAGGAGCAGAAGTGCTAAGATTTGGGAATTAGGACTCATACCGACAAAGCCAATCAAAGCTCTAGCACGAACTCCGAAGTAATAAACCTCATAATCTAAAGAATGTCAATTCTAGATTCTTGAATTCTAAGATAGGGGGTTCATAGACTTACTTCCAGAGTATTGATTAAAGTATGCAGCCCAAAAGACAAGCAATAGTAGTAGAATCTTCAATGAAGTTAGTATAGTCCATAGCAGAGAGTCTATCGGGTAAATATACATCGCGTCTTGCACATGTTTTAATGAGCGCTCTGATTTCTGCCTTGAACGATTTTTCATGCACAATCTTAATTTTCGATCCATCTGATCTTTGGGCCTGGTAAAGTCAGCAAATTATTTCGGGGCAATATCTAGAATCAACCGACCTTGTCCGGAGGAGAGAGTGCAAGAGCTATGAAAGCAGCTAGACATTGAAGGGTAATGAAGATAATGTACACAGCTATATGGCAAATCAGTACTCTTCCAGAAAGCAAACTTCAAAGAGAATATCAGGAGTCACTCACCATACCCAACCTTTCCCTTTTTCTTTTGGTTGCTCGCACTAATGTCTCGTCAATAAGAGCCACAAAGTATGAGATATTCAGACATCACGCACTGATTGAGACCCAAAACAATAGCACCACCAACAAGCGGTCCTCCTGTACGAAACCACAACCAAATACTATTTTCATTAGCTCATCACCTTTCGTACATCTCGAGACAATGGATTCCACTCACTTCATATATTTTCCTCTTTTCGCCGGTTCCGGATATCCCAACGCAACTGCTCCCTCTGAAGCCCAGAATAATCCTGCACTGAACACGATATCTTGTCAGTTGATCTATGCTATATCAAGCCAGTGTTCCCCAAACTTACGAAATTCCACAAGTGACAGCTCCAACGAGAACCAGCCAGACAGTTCCATATCGATTATTCGCATATAAACCAGCCCTATGCTTCATTAGCACTTCTCCTCGTTGAACTCGAAGGGAAAGGAGAAAACATACGAATAAACTGGATATCCCACTGCTCCAAGTGTCAATGTATATTTCAATCCTATCCGATTCGCAATTGGTCCTCCTAGTACACAAAATATTCCCACTTCACATCCAATATTAGCAAAGTTTCCAAGGTCCAATCTCCTCCCCAGAAACATACATCAAGGCCAATTAAGACTTGAAGAAACTAAAACATGGGTGAGGAACATACTCAAACCAAAAACCAATGCATTAGCAGCATTAACCAAAAACGGCGATTCCGCACCTCCAGCACCTAGAGAAGACATCGCATTCCACATTCCTGGGGCCAGAAACCCTACTGCGCCTATTACAAAGGCATTGAAGAGGGATGAACGGTACCATAGTTTTTTCTCTGGCTGCTGTTCCGACGGCGGTTGATCTAAGGAAGTCATGACTGCTACAGCCTGCGAGCGAGGAGAAATCGGGAATTATGACAGAGAGAGAGGGATATTGAATACGAACATCGTAGCTGGACGGAAGGATATATATCTCTACCCCAACATCTAGCCCGGTAGGTAGCCACTGAACCAATATTGAATATTACCTCATCACATATACAGATTTTTCAATAGCCATGTCCATATTGTTGGAATCAGTATCCAGCTTCCTTTCTAGTCGTGAATCTCACTTGGCTACAAAGCTGCTTTTGATAGAAAAAGAAGATTGATTTTATATATCCTACAGAATCACCTACATCGAAGAATTGCGTGATGGCATAAAATAAAGCAGCAATACATTTTCAGATGTACATTCAATGCGAATTTGACGCAGGTATGGCGAATGATGCTCATCATACATCCTAGTATGTAAATCCCGACGTTGAGCCGATGATACCCAGCTAAAAAAAATTGTATATTATCCACATTGAAGAAGATGTCTCGAGGATAGATGAGATATACACTATATATATGTTGAGAACCAGGCACCAGATTGCTTGATGTGTTCTAGATTATCATATGTTTGTGCGAACTTAAGATCACCATATAACAATGTACAAAAATGTTCATCCCAGTCAATCATCCTCCGCACAACTTTCAAGTACTAGCGAAATCTTTTGCTTGATGATATTTGTGTGAACCTCATGTGTAGGATTATTTATCCTGGGAAATGTTGATGTGAACAGACCTAGATGTTCTAGGTTCTTGGTGGATTGATATCATTTGGCACATTCATACCATATGGGATATTCAACGCGGGTTGGAAATTCATACCATTTTGGAACATTGAAATCATTTGGCACATTCAAACCACTGGGTATGCTCAAAGCAATTTGGACATTCAACCCACGTTGGAATGCTGAAATCATTTGGGACATTGAAACCATTTCAATATGTTCAAATAAGTTGAACATTCATACCAAGTAGGACATTCAAATCAATCATAATACTCAAATCTATTCATTATATGTTTCAGATGCAAGAGCATCGATACAAAGTATTAACACTTAAAATCCAGCAGTATTCCTAATCAGCTCAATATCCAGCTACAGCTAAACATCTCCCCCAAGAAATCTTCACTTTCTCTTTCCAGCCTCCGATTCATCTCCATCAACAAAATTATCATCAAGCTTAAGGTCCTCCAAGCTCCTAGTAGGAATAACGCTGGTCTCCCTCCTAAACGACACAGTCTTGCTCTCAGCGCCACCAAGAGCCGCCTTAACAGAATCCGAAGCTCTTCTCTTAGTTCCCCTCAACTCAATTGTTCCACCACCATGGTTTTCGGTAAGATCACCAAGTTCCGTGTTCTTAGCGATACTCTCATCGGCTTTACGCTTAGTAGGAGTATTGAAAGCGCCTGATCCCTCCACACTTCTAGTATTGGCAGGTTCAGGAAGAGAGAATTCAGGGATCTCTTCGATGAGTCGAGCTTGATGCTTACGACGTTTGCTCGAAGTATGAGGAAGACCGCGGAGACCCAAAAGTATACCATGCTCGATGGAAGCATAGAAATTTGTGTCGTTGTCGCGGTTTGCGTTGGAAGAGGAGCCGTAATTCGACATTGGTTGAAGAAAGTAGATTGATGAGCTCTTTCTACCCATTGTTGCGGTAGGAAGGTTGGGGTTGTCGGAGGTGATGGGTGAGATGACTGGAGCTGGGGGTGGTTTGGGATTCGACATGTTGGCTTGTTGCTTTGTGATAATTTATTGGTATTGTTGTTGTTTCTGGTGTGGTAAAACTGGTTTCGATGGAGTGAGAAATGAAAGAAGTGTGTAGGATATCTTGAGTGCGGCTAGGGACTGCGGCTTGCTCGAGATTGATTGACTGTGGCTAGAACGATTGTCAGGGTCAACTTTATTTATCTTATATTGACTCAATCTTGCCTTGGTGTGTTGTGATATGGTTGGCTTGTAGATCTGGATATTTATAAATGCCCAACTTCAATGGATAAAATGTTGTGTGTTGTGTGTTGTGATGGTAGTTGGGTTGTTGTTGTGGTATAAAGACATTGATATTTTATAGTATGGGAAATGAGACCTGATGTTCCTAAAAAGTATGAATGTGGAAGAATGAGAAAGAGTTGATTTGGTGTGCCTTGTTAAACCCTACTTAAGGTTTGGTTAACAAGAAAAGGCAGAAATGTTTTGTTCACGAGAGTGAATGATATCATTTTGTTCCATCCATTGCCATAGTGCTCACTAAGAAAGTGCCGACCTTCTAGTCCCCAAATTTCGACATTTGGAGGTTGAGAGCCCCATAACGAGAACAGAAACAACTTCGATACGATAGAAGTTATGCTAATATCAATAGCACTTCCTTCGAATGTAATTGGCCTTCCAGTGCCATCCAATGCGCCACTTGCAATAATATATGAGGCTTCATTTTTGCCTGCATTACTGGAAGAATCAAAATCCAGAACCTTATTCCCCCAACTCCAAACCATAATGCAAATACATAGGTAATACACGATCCCCCGATCCACGGCTTCACTAATGATTCCGAAAATTCTTTTTTCTACACCAAAGATGTTAATATTTATTTGACCGCGTCTTGTGACAGGGGAAAACTTACTGATAGAATAGATCCGTCCTACTACTACCCAGATTGATAATCTTCGGACATCCATCGCGGTCTTTCTCCAATCTTGTACACTCGAAGCAATAGAAAGCGTCTGAAATGCCTTCACCTCCACACACGACACATTTGTTTTGATAGTTTCCGAAACTACACTCTTCGCAGATGCGTACGAGAGTTGTGGGACGAACGTAGGAATCGCATACAGGGCACTTTCCATCGCATTTATCGCAGAGACGTCCGATAGCAATACCGGACTGCTTTCTGCACATTACGAGATCTCTAGAGGCAGGTTAGTAGCTGTCGTCTCAAAGCAGAGAAGATTTGTACATACGGATGATGGCGAGACATGCTTAAGTATCTCTATAGATATGAAGCTGTAGGTTATCTTTTTGTACAGTTCTCAAGAGCAGAGGTAGTTCAATTTTGAAAATTGCCGTAGTTGGAGAAGAGATGGTTATCTGAAGAGCTCAAGATTTTTATTATTGATATCACCGCCACCAAAATATCGAGCTTTCGTTCTTTGATTTCTAAGCACTGACCACCACGCTAGTACCGGCAGGGATCTCTCAATACATCGCATATCCAGTATCGCATGTGAATCAAATGGACGTGATTGAATGTTTTAAACAATTACATTTAATTTTCTACTTATCTGGTCGACATCATTTCGAAAAGGTCTACTAATAAATTCAAGGTGATGGTAACAAATATGACAGACACACCAGCGTGAGTAAAAAACTCTAGTCATATCATGAAGGCTTACTAATAAAAGATAGACCCGTGGCATCTGCAGTTGTCGTTCCTAAACAAGATGCGCCAAACGTTAAAAGTCCCCGCAGGAAGCGTCGACAATCATCCGTGTCCGAAGATGCTTCTAAACGTCTCCGAATCTCCACCGAAGACAGCGCCATCTCTACATCCACTCTACATTCCTCTTCACAAGCTTTAGATTCTACAAAGCTTGAATCACCTGGAAAGAATCAACCTCTTGCTGTTTCACCAGAAGCCGCGAGAAATGGTCGTTCCGAAAGAAGAAGAAGTAGTGTTCAAGAGGAACGCAAGCGCGGCCAAAGATTATTTGGAGGCTTGCTGAATACTCTTAATCAAAGTACACCAAATGGACAACAGAAAAGGCGACAAGAGATTGAAGCACGACAAAAGGAGAGAGCCGCGCAACGAAAAGCTGAAGCAGAAGATAGGAAGAAACAGAAGGCAGCGAGTCTTCAAGCGGTACGAGTGGTTGAGCAAGTGAAATTTCAGGAAGAATCGGTTAGTGATTTCTGAAAAAGGGAGGAGACAAGACTGATAGGTTTCTATAAAGATGCGAATGCGGCATTCGAACATGTTAGCTATGGCCCAGTTTCTTTCTACAGAAACAGAGCCAAAACTGGTAAGGACTATACTTCTACTCATTCCGGTTATGGTTGCTGATCCATCAAGTATTACAAACCATGGCAACTATCACCCAACAATGAAGCCAGAATCAAGACCCAAATCAAAGAAGTAGAGATGTTGATTGAAGAAGAAAAGTCCCAGTGGGCGAGTAAACATCCAGAACAAGATCCAAAGGCTGATGGGGAATCTGAAGTAAAGGTGACGTCTGATGTGATGATGGGTGAGCCTCATGTGGAGTCTCCATCTAATTCTAACATTGATACTACTAATCCAATCTCTACACTTGTTGCTCAGTCCTCACAGGTCAAGACTGAGAAAGATAATTTGGAAGAGCATAATGGTGAGGTGGTAGTAGAAGCAGAGGATACTGTTATCTACTGATTGCTCTACATGAATGGGTTAAGGAGTTTAGCTTGCCGGAAAATGCTCAAATGGTATTTAGGTGTTGGTATGGTGTTTTCAGGAGGTCAATGATATCCCACGCCGGCTTGTACTCTAGACCTGGCTATATTAAAATGTTTCTTTTCTCTTCACCGTTACTCGCAATCAACTGATTTAAGAGACTATATAAGTACCGGCCGCCAAGCCTACGAAACTCAATACCTAGGCACAAGATGATATTTGTAAGTACCGGCCGCCCAACCTACGAAACTCTATACCTAGGCACAAGATGATATTTGTAAGTATCGGCCGCCCAACCTACGAAACTCAATACCTAGGCACAAGATGATATTTGTAAGTATCGGCCGCCCAACCTGCACAAGATGATATTCGGAGACACCGGATGTGGGACCAAAGTGGAATGCGACGCCATGAACAAATGGTTTGTCTCTCCGTAATCAATCCTCGGAGTACGGAGTACACGACACATTGCCATGATGTGTTATTGCGTTGCAGCAACGACTAATCAGTCGTTTGTTACCCAATTTTTATCGATTTGAACCGAGGCACGGCTGTTGGTGGGGCAGCCTTGTTGTTTAAATGGCCGACGTTTCCCACATCAGCCTTATTCGAGATACTTTCATTTTTGACTGGTGTTCATTACATTTCACTTCAAACATATATCAAAATGGTCGATAAGCTTGCAGTTCAAGACTCTCGAGTCCAATATAAATCGGCTGATTTGAACGGAAGAACTTACTCGTATATTCTTGCCGAACCTCAAAATGGTGCCGAACCAGTTGCAACGATCTTCTTGATTCACGGAGTAAGCATTCATTCGATTTCCCTTCTGAATTGTTGTACTGCTCCAACATTCAATCGAGAGTCAAATCACCAAGAAGCTTCTTAAAGCTTCAATCATTGTGTTACAAAAGTATACTAACTTTCATCTAGTTCCCTGACATGGCATTCGGCTGGAGATATCAAGTCCCCGCTCTCCAAGCTCTCAACTACCGCGTCGTAGTTCCCAACATGCAAGGCTATGCCACCTCTTCCTCTCCCCAAGAACTCAGCGCTTTTACCCTCAAAACAGCCGCTGACGATGTTGCCGCTCTCGCAAAGGCCATCGGTGCTACATCTATCATCCTCGGAGGTCACGATTGGGGTGGAGCTGTCGTCTACCGTGTTGCTCTTTATTATCCTAAACTCATCACTGCAGTCTTTAGCGTCTGCACACCTTTCTTCCCTCCTCAACAAAAATACATTCCCACGACCGTCCGACCAAATTTCAAATATCAATTACAATTCCAGGGTCCGGATGTTGAGAGGGAAATCCAAGGAAAGGAGAAATTGAGAGTGATGTTGAATGGGCTTTATGGTGGCCGATCCCCAGAGAATGAACTTGGATTTTCTGTCTCCGAGGGTGTTCTCTTCCAGAGTCTAGAGAAACTTGGTCCAACTCCTCTTTTGTCCAAGGAAGAATTAGATCACTACGCAGAACAGTATGCGGTTCATGGAATTAGAGGCCCATTGAACTGGTATCGCACTGGCGAATTGAACTTTGAAGATGAGAAGGAGTTGGCGGAGGAATTCCACAAGGAGAATGGATATAAAATTGAAATTCCTACCATGTTTATTGGAGGATCGAAAGATGCGGCATTACCACCCGCTATGGCGGAGAACATGCAACAATGGTTCGGAGAGGGAAAGTTGAGAAAAGAGGAAGTTGCTACGGGTCATTGGGCTCTGTGGGAGAAGCCGGAGGAGGTTAATGCCTATGTGAAGGATTTCTTGACGAAGCTCGCAGGGGGACAAAGTCATCTTTAAATGGAGATGTGAGTGGAGGATAGAAATTCAGATAGAAATGGAAATTACTAGTTGAAGAGCATTTAGTAGTAAAGATGTCATTTTGCTTTCAATTGTACTCTGCGCCGGCTCTTACTTGTGATAGCTACCTACGTACCTAGGAGGGGAGGGAGGGATACATGTACATGGTCCAAGCTTCCAAGCACTGCGAGACGAAGATTTCGCCGTGTGAAATGAAGGGGTTCCAAATTCCAATAATCATCCGAAAAATTATTTAAATTTAGTGTTTCTATCGTAGGTATCTCACCCGATTTTCTCCTCTATCATATCAAAATACTTTACTTTACGTTAGGAATAGATCAGGTGATATGTCATATCTATCCAGGTACCCAGGCGAGCTAGGCACGTTCAACTCCTTAACCTTAAAATACCGCAATGTGAGCGTTTATCGCGGGATTTTATATAATATAAAGATATAAATACATATACTACTATATATATACAAAGATACAAATACATATACAATCTAATCTAATCTAATCCAATCCAATAGGATATAAATGTGAGAGAGAGGTAAGGGTAAAGTTATCATTCTGTGCTCGCTCGCTCACTCGCGAGCAAGCTCGCGAGCTCACCGTTCCATCGGATTTGAAACCTTTTCTGGCGACTAATAAGGACTAATAATATGGTGCTGAGTACTGCAGGTGAGTTGCTGAGCGAGCTGAGTTATAAATCTTGGAAGTATAAAATTCCAATTAACTAGGTATGTATCCTCACAAATTCACAATCCAATCCTCAAGGTGTACACACCCACAAAAGACATACATTACCATTACAAACCCAGGTATCACTATCACTATCACACATCACACAATACACACGCACAGCAAGCCCAAATACACAAAAATAACCTCCTACCTCCCACCTCTCCTGCATCCCTCACTCTACCTACTACCTACCTACCTAGTGCAACTCACTACTCACCCACACTCCCACCTACCATGAATATCCCATCTCCCATCTCCCATCTCCCATATCCCATCTCCCATCTCCCATCTCCCATCTCCCATCTCCCATCTCCCATCTCCAATTTCCTTCATATATCACATATCAAACCATCCATCTACACAGTCTTATCTCCCTTCCCTTCCCTTCCCTTCCCTTCACTCCCCAAATACACATGATATGTTCTTACTATGAGTAGGAGAGTAGGTACTACAGAGTAGCTACACTAGGTAGGTATCTCGGTAGGTAGATCACTCTGTATGCGGATAGAGGGGGGGTGAGGGAATGAGAGAGGGAATGGAAATATATGAGTGGCTATCTACCGAGTAGGCAGGTAAGGAGAAAGAGTCGAGACTCAACGGACTACGAAGCAGAAGTGTGTTTAGGTAAAGAATGTAAGAAAGATGAATCATTGAATCATGTGGTACAATTAGGAAGGATGTCCACGGATATTAACGTCACCTTTTTTCTTCCATACAGTCGAGCCTTTCTCGCTCACCCGAGATCCATTGGTGGGGCCCGGGGCGTAATGAAGCTTTGAAGCTTTGGATCCAGCCACAGATTAGATCTTATATGTCTATCCATCCTATCTCAAGCCACCTAGTCCGAGGTTATACTGTGACTCTTGTCTGTAGACAAAGTTTCCCCTGAATGATATTGATGTGATCTGATATGCTACGGTGCAAACCTTCTTTTTCATGTCCGGCATTCACATCCGATGCAAATAACCCTTTACTCTGTCTGTACTGTGGAAACACAGTCAACTCCATCCAGCCATCCAGCCATCCAGCCATCCAGCCACTCTCCATTCAAATCACGTTCATGTCACGTTCACATACCGATAGAAAATACATACCATCCATACCATCCATACATACTGCACACTTCCAACACCGAATCATCTCTCACCACCACCACACACCCATCCAAGGCTTCTTTATCTAATTCAATAGATACCGTATTGGATCGCTTAATTAATGCTCCCACCAGACCAAGTTAGCCTCTTCCCTCTCCTCCTCTTGTTTTGATTCTCATTGAGTGTACCCGTGGACCGACCTACTAGAAGTAGAAAGTTAGAAGGCTGTCAAGTTTAATTTATTAATTATTATCTTTCATCCATCCATTCAAACCCAAATCCCGAAACCCAAAATCCCTTCTAATCAAAACGCTTCTTCCACCCTTCCACCACAGACTGCTACCGTACAATCAATCAATCCATCCACCCATCCATCCATCCATCCATCCATCAATCAATCAATCAATCTACCTACCAACCCACTCATTCAATACCTACCTACCTACCTAAGTAACTACTCGACCGACAATTCTTACTTCCATCAAAACCACCACCGCCACCACCACCACCACCACAACTTTCTCAAATATAAATTCAAACAAAAAAATAAAACAATTAAAAAACTTGTCAATTTACTCCAAATTGATTTTCTTTTGATTTTTTGTTCTTTGCTTCATCACTTAATCCTACTACTTTCATGAATTTCTCCTATTTCCAGCCAATCCGCAAAGTACATGAGGCGAAATGACAGACGCATGCATTGTATGTTTAGAAGATCTGGAGGTGGTAGAGGTCCAACAGCAAGAAGACGAAAAAGTTGGGGTTCCGGCTCCCGTCCCAGCACCCAGTTCAGTGGTGCAAGACCCCCAATCCCAATCCCATTCCCATTCCCCAGAGGCTCTGGAGCTCGCGAGGGGCAACGCCGGCAAAGAACCTGATTTCGAGCATCTGCAGCGTCGACAATGTATTTCTTCGGGGAAGAGTAACGGTAACGGCAACGGCAACGGTAATGGTAACGGTAACAATGCTTTATGCGTGGCTCAGATTAAACCGTGTGATCATGTTTTGCATGATCATTGTTTGAGGGAATGGAGTCAGAAGGCTAATAGTTGTCCGATTTGTCGGGCGAGCTTTAATTTGGTCCTGGTACTGGATGGAGTTGGAGGTAAGCTGAGCATTTTATTTTATTCTTCATTTTCGAGGGCGACATTTGCTGTCTTTTTATACTGCGACGGGGAGATGTCATTCTTGAGCTTCTGGTTGGGTACATTTCGGGTGGTCTTTGACGAACTGAAATGCCTCTTGCGATGATGTAATTTCGATTTCTTGGGAGGTTCACAATTTATATACTCTTTGCGCCTTTCAGCCAGAGTTTGAGGGCTGCCTACGACTTTACGAGTTATGCAATCATTTGGATCAATAACTAACTGAATTTTCCAGGAACGGTACAATCAGAATATACCGTCGAAGATAGAAAACAAACCGCCGAGTTCGACTTGGCGGCGTGGCAACAAGATAACCCGGAAGATTACGAAGATGAGGAAGAAGGAAGATCGTGTCCAATCTGCGACCAGTCAGATCAAGAAGATGTTCTCTTGTTATGCGATGGATGCGATGCTCCGTATCATACACATTGTATCGGTTTAGACAATGTTCCAGGTGGTCACTGGTATTGTATGGAATGTGTGGAAAGTGGTGCTTTTGGTCAACATGATGAATCGCAAGGACCCGCGAGAGCGATCCCCTTTTCAGGACAACACATCAGCAGAACCCAGGCTAGCGTTCGACGTGCTCGGAGGAATGGCAGACAAGATAGATGGATTAATGCTTGGGGGCAATTAAGTAGCGCAATCCGAAATGTCGCGGGCGTTGATCTCGATTTTGCCGAGGATGATCAGGAGTTGAGAGGTTATAGGGACCTTCAACAATTTTCTGCCACAGAGTTCAACAGATGGGAACAACGATTACACATCGCGAGACGTCAAGGTGCTGGTCAAATATTTCGTGCTGCAGCACCACAAGTTGTCCGAGAGCGCATTCAACCACCGGCGCCTGTCGTTGAAACGCGGGAGGAAAGACAGGCGTGGGGAGCTATGGAGAGAGCTCAACATCTTGATGATACATCGAATGCAAGGAAGCGCAGAAGATCAACTGCATCACCAGCTAGTCGTGGTGGCTCAACACCAGAAGAACCTGAACGTAAGCAGAAGCGTCCAAGAACACGGATTGTTCAAAATGGATCATCATCTGTCGCATCATCCAGTGCGAATCCTCAACCTCGACCTTCATCTAGTAGGAGTAATGGTTCACCAAGACAATCACCAAGACCTTCAGATACCATGAACACGAACATGAACACAAACGCAGAACCTACATTTCTTTCTTCACTTCTTCGAGAAGTTGAGATGGCACCATCTTCCGACGATGATTCGATAAGGTTTGGATTGGATGTTTTATCCAATCGAGCAAATGGGGCTACAAGTCCATCATTTGATTATTCATCTCCTGCTACTTCACCAGCGTCTCCTGCATCTTTTCGCAGTCGCGCAATCTCAACCACACCCCCACCAAGAGGTCGACAATCCCGTTCTCCTCCTTTGAGTTCAACTGTGATGCCTGATTTTTCTGCTGTTCACTATTCACCAAATCGATCACCAACAGTCGATTCCCCAAGTCAAATGGCTGGGGGTCAAAACAAGAGAAAGAGGGATGGATCACCTAGCCCGGAAATTCGACAACCTCAACCTCGTAGACAAAAAATGTCACGAGCAAGATCTCAAGATTCATCACCTGTACGAACCAATGTTGTAAATTCATCAACATCTCGATCCGAAAATACATCACCATTACGAAATACCATGTCAATTGAAGAGAAACAAAGCATCAACAAAATAGTGAAAACGGCTCTCGGACCTCATTGGAAATCTCAAAAGATTTCAGAAGAACAATATGCGGATATCAATCGAAATGTTTCGAGGAAACTTTATGAACTTATTGCGGACCCAAATCATGCAGATGGAGATAAGAGTTCATGGGAAAAGATTGCCACGACGGAAGTTGGTAAGGCGGTTCAATCTTTGGGAAATCAAATCTCATGAGGTGGATTTGGAATGGAATTTTAATTGTAACGAAACGCATACGAACAAAATGGACGGCGAAAAGATTTTGGGGACATTTTCTGGAGGTTGCTTGAGGGCATATTGAACATGGAGTCACAACTTACTATTAGCGAATGGAATTGCCTTTTTTTTCTTCTTCTCTCGTATATTACAAGGAAAATTGTAATTTGGTGTTATATGGAATGGAATGGAATGGAATGGAATGGTGTGGAATGGAGTGGTTCATTATAGGGCATTGGTATGCATAATGTGAATTGCTATTTATGATACCATTAATATCTTTTCTTGCGCTGGAGCAATGGGAGAATGGGAGAATGGGAGAGTGTATAGGTGGGAACTCTGGTTTTCGGATTCGGATTCGGAAGATTGGAGATTGGAGATTGGAGTGTTTGTGATTGTGATTAGAGTGTTTGTAATGTTTGGGATGGAAGAGACTTTTGAGGGGAGATGGAGAGAGTGATGGAGATGGAGAGAGTGATGGAGAGAGTTGTGATATGGGATGTGGGATATGTTTGTTGTGAGATGGTTTGTTGTGAGATTGTGGGACTGTTTGGGGAGGGAGGGGAGGGAGGAGAAATGGAGAGGGGGTTGTATATTGTGAGGTGAGAGGTGAGAGGTCAGAAAGGAGTGAGTGAGGATGAGGGGTGAAGCGTGAGGGATGAGGGGAATGACAGATATGTGAATGAGTGGCAAAGGGAAAGAAATAGTTGATGGTGTGGTGGTGATAGAAAGAGATTTTGAGAATTGAAATGAGAAAGTTTTGAGAAAGTGAAATGGGTATAGAGAGATACTTGTTGTTAAATGTGAAATGCGAAATGCGGATTGTAAGATGTGAAATGTGTGTCAAATGTAGAATAGGAAAGAGGATGAGATGGAGGATGAGATGCAGATTTTATTATACGAGTATATGAATGAGTATCTGTATGTATTTATTAATACCTAGCACCTACCTAGGTAGGTCATTGTACTGTATTGTATTGTTGAGGGAAAGGGAAGGGATGGGAAAAAGGGAAAGGAAAAGGAAAAGGAAAAGGAAAAACTTCTAATGTGTTCTGATATCTCTCTCTATTGATTGTATGTAGTGTGAAGAAAAATTCTACTCGCGAGAGTTTTGGTAAATACCTATTTAAGTAGGTAGGTAGGTAGGAGTGAGAAATTGAATATAGATAGGTAGGTAGGTAGAGAGGTTTGTATTGAAGATTGACATTTTTTCATTATTATTTCCATCATAGCTAGCCGAGTATGGATTATTCTCTACAAGCTGTTCTGCTTCTGCTTCTTTAACTAGGTATACGAATATATATGAATATTGCCCGGTCTTTCTCCTCTCTTCCATCCAAGCCAAAGATAGATACTCCAATCCTCGTACTTCATTCCTCCTCTCACACATTCAACAAGACAACAAAAACTCAAGATGGAGAAGGAAATGTAAACAGTCGCTATCTAACAGTTCCCGTAGGTAAAGACGAGGGTACCGCTAGCGAAAAAAGCCTGAGATGTTTAATCTAGGCATCGATAAATGGTCAGGACGTTCTGGGTTGAAACGGGTCTTGATGATAAGGATTGATGCCGTGGATTGGGGGAGGAAGAAGGTTGAAGGAGGAGAAGAGTTTTTATGTTGTGTAATTGGCACGTGAGGAGCTAGGATGTATGGGGATTAGTGGATGTGGATGTGGATGTGGATTGGGAAGATGAATGGAATGGGAGAGATTATTGGTGGGAGGATCAAGAGCGATTAGTAAGCTTCGTGGAATTTATTTTTTGGATGGTGGGTTGCTGGATGTGCGTGTGGGCGTGGTGAGTGCGCAGAGAAGTATTGTTGTACGTACGTACTTTCCATACCTACGATATTTAGAAGCAAATATGACGTCGAGTAGTAGGGGTTGCAGTAGAACTGCTCAGAGATTATTATGTATGTGTCTTCTTTCTTTCGGTGTGCTTCAATTGGAAATGGGGAGTGTGGTCGATGATTTGTATATCATGCGCTTGCTTGGAGAGGAGTGTGAGCTTGCGTGATGTGGAAAACCTCGAAGGGAGGGATTATTTACTGCTCAATGGCTTGGTGACGGGTGTATGAATGTGGATGCTTGGAAAGAGGATTGCAGGATTACACGGGATTGTATTCACATCGATATTCAAATCAATCAATCACTAACAAGCCCCCGCCACAGATTCCTCACGACCAACCATTGTTCCCCGAACATCTCTCCGTACCCGCACACCATGTATACAAACACCCCGTTCGCGAGCCTATGCCGTCGCGGCATCATCCTTTAAACCTCTCGATGGAGCGCCCTCCCACCTCCCACATGTTTCCGCCATGCCTCCCGTCTCCCCTTCCCCCGGAGCAACGACGTATAAAATCTCGACGGGAATCATCCTCAGTCGGCCTCCGCTCCTTACGAAAACCGCGACGCCGTTTGAAAAGGCGTTTTATCTCTACCAGAAACGTTTGAATGAGAGATTGGTATTACCGTTCACGAGATACTTTTATCATAAGAAAGATCAACCGGCGGATTTGGAATGGAAGGCGAAGGTCAGAGAGAGGAATGGGGTTGCGGCGAGGGATATTGGTGGGTATAGAGCTTATGGGGAAGAGGGATGGAATGATGAAGTTTTGATTGGGGGACAAGAGGAAAAGGTCGCCGAGTGGGAAGATATTGCGGGGAAGTTGGTGGAAGAGGGGATGGGGGAGGATTTGGAAAAGGTGAAGTTGGAGAGTAGAGCGGGAGAGACGGATAAGAGGAGTTTGGCGAGGAAGATGGATGAGACGGTTTATTTGGTTGTGAAGGGGAAGGAGAAGTCGGTGGATAGGGAGGGAAAGGAAGTACAAGTGGATGCTTGGGAGTTTCCCAGGGGCGATATGGTGGGGAATGAGGTTTTGCATACGGTTCGTTGGGGTTTTGCTTTCTTTTACTGTTTTATGTGTTTTCTAATCCCCCTACTTCCCTCTTTTCCGCATCCATCAATATTGTTTCGATACATGAACTAACACCTCCAAAGGCAGCCCAAAGAATCCTCGCTCAAACAGCAGGTGAAAACATGAATACATGGATAGTAGGACATATCCCCATTGGTAGTCTCACCATCAAACCCTCGAAGAAATTTGGAAGAGAAGCAGAAAAGGTATTCTACATGAAAGGAAGAATTATGGCAGGCCAAGCGAATCTTAAGGGAAATGCATTTGGAAAGGAAGATTTTATGTGGTTGACGAGGAAGGAGATTGAGGAATTGGTTACGAAGAGGTTTTGGAGTCAGGTGGGTGGAATGTTGGGGGGTAGGTAGATTGGGAGTGTGTATAGGAGCGGGGGATGAAGGGGGAAAGAGGGAAGAAGAGAGGTGTGGATGAAGAATTTTGGGGTTTGTCCGTCGTCTGTCTTTCTGTCTCAATGCAATGATCTCTATATCGGTATGGTAGGGGTATTGCCGTGGAATTGGAATGGGATTAGGATGAGGCATGTGAGATGAAGGATGTACTGTAGGATGAGATCTTGTACAAAAGATTATCTTCATACCTATGGAAGAAAGAGAAGAGAAGAGGGAGAAGAAGACGAAGATGATGATGAAGAGGATGGAGGTGAATATTATATCATATTGTAGAATAGCTGAAGAGGAGAAAAGAGAAGAGAAGAAAAGAAAAGAAAAGATAAATGTATTATTCTAGAGGTTTTTTTTTCGGTTGAGGTTGAGGTTTTTACGAAATACATGAAATGAATGAATGAATGAATGAGAAGCGAGGGAGTCGAATTTTTTGCGTGAATATGAATATGGAAATGGATATGAATATATCAAAATTATACTCGTACTCGTACTCTTTCTTTTTCTATGAATATGGATATGAATATGAATGAATACCTTAGGAAAAAATACGGGTGGGATTCATGTTAATTCAACTATAAATATTCTTTTAAATCTTTATTTATAGGAAAGGCTGTATTTACCAAAGATCAACTCTTAATATCAAGTCGAATTGATTTATCAAAACTTTTGATTTACTATTGATAGATGTGTATAAAAGTGTGAGTTCCAAGGTTGCTATTGATACCTAGGAAGGTGGGAAGGTAACCAGTCCAGTCCATCTTACATTAACCTACAGAATCCATAAGGTTACGAAAGTTAAATGAATCTAGATCCAACATTTCGACATCCCAACATCTCGACATCTCAACTGCCGAACCGAGCTGACAAATTGTACATAGTATCGCTATTACGATTACTATTACGATCACTATCGAATTGCTACGAGTAGGTATTAAAATGACATCTCCCACCACAAAAAACATCCTCATTCTCGGCGGCGGCATCTCGGGGTTACAAACGGCGGTTTCGTTGCTTGATTCCTCTTCAAATAATCAATCCCCCCAGTACACAATCACGCTCCTGGCGAAATATCTCCCCGGTGACAAGAATGAAAATTATTGTTCGCCATGGGCAGGAGCAGATTGGAGAAGTCATGCTGCGAAACCTGCTACTTGTAGTAGTGAGGGGCGGGATGGAAAGGGGGAAAGTGGTGAAGATAATGATATAGATGAAAGATTGAGGAGATGGGAGGAGAGGACTTATCGTAAGTGGAAGAGTTTGATTGTAGAGAATGAGGATGGGAAGGGAGCAAGAGGAAATGAAATGGAAATGGGAATGGGAATGGCAATTACACCCTCGATATACTATCTGGGATCTACATACCACGGAGCGGAGTTCGACGAGAACGGTGTGTGGTTTGAGGATGTGGTGGGAGGGTATCGAGAATTGGACGTTGGGCTGGAGGAAAACAAACTCAAGGGATCTCTGGGGAAGGGTGTCAGAAAAGGTGTACAGTTCGAAACGGTGTGTGTGGATGTAGATATATATTTGAGGTATTTAATGCAGAGAATAGAACAGCGAGGAGGAAAGCTTATCCGCGGGGAAATCGAAACCAAGGAAGGATTGGAAGGTGTGGTGCGCGGATGTAGAGATGTGCTTGCGGGAGAGAAAATCGATGTCCTGATTAATTGCACGGGACTCTCTGCCGCGCGATTTGTGGGGGAAAGGGAAGCGGAGAAGATGTTTCCGGTGCGAGGACAGGTTTTGTTGGTGAGAGGGGAAACGAGGGTTTGTAAGACTTTTGTGGGGGATTTGGGGGTCAGGGGGGATGAGTTGCTGTATGTGATTCCGAGGCCTGGGAGTGGGAGGAGTGTGGTTGGGGGGGTTAAGGAGGTGGGTTGATTTCTGTTTGGTTTTCTGGGGGGGATTGGTGGAGCGTGGAAAACTTGCTTCCGAGTATATGTACAGGAAATGGAGAAGAATAGGAAGCGGAGGTGGATTTCTTCGCTTCGGGAATGAGGAAATAAAGGGGGAGAAGAGAAAGGTACAAAGGGAATCACAAGCTTACCACACGAACCCCCACAGGCCAATACCTGGAACGCAAACCCCGACCGCGAATTATCAAGTAGAATAATCCAGAGATTAAAAGATATAGGATGGGCTGAAGATTTGCAGAATGAGAAAGGGGAGATAGAGGTTTTGGATACGTATGTGGGGTTTAGACCTGGGAGGAAGGGGGGTGCGAGGGTTGAGATTGAGGAGATGGGTGGGGAAGGGGATAGTGGGAGAGGTGGAAAAGGAAAGGGAACAGCAAAGAAAATAGAAGGTGTCTATGTTATTCATAATTATGGACATGGGAGTGGAGGGTATCAATGTAGTATTGGGTGTGCGGAAGAAGTTGTTGAGTTGGTTCGGGGATTGGAATGATGGGGTTTACTTTAGTTTGCTTTGATTTACTTTGATGAGTTGGTGTTTATATCTCGGAGGATATATATATATATATATGTATGGAAGTGAGAAAATATGAAAACGGAACAAGAGATCAGGATACAGAGATTCGTTTGGCGAATCCATCTGTAGGTACCTACCTACCTATGCACATCAATCTTGGGGAGGTAACGAGGTTGCAATATAGTATTATAACGATAATCCATAGTTCCTCTCCGCGCATTCTGTATCTTTTGGATTGATATTGTATACTTACATCGTCTACACTATTCCACGGTGCGCAATTTCGAAATTCGAAACATGAGGTAAGTTAGATGCGGAGTATGTTAGAAGTTAAGAATCACTCTGTTTCGAGAATAGAAAATGAACCAGGGAATTTAATATGTATGTATGGCATGTTAAATCCGATGAGTGTACTCAAGCAAACCCAAGCTGGATAGAACCCCCTCCAAAGATCTCAGAGAACCAAACTGATATAAGTATACATATAAATATGAAAAATCCCTACGATAAGAAGAATCAACATCAAAAGATGCCGTATATTTGTATACGATCAAATAAATGACCACTCAGTCTACAACAAAAACAAAATCCGATTCTCTAAAGCAAATCTACAAACCGAGAAGCCTTACCAAAGACAAAACAGACCCAACCCGCAGCGCCCGCTACCAAGAACTCCGCAAGCTCTAGCCTAAACCTCCACCATGTGGAGATATTTCCACGGTGATTTCCTGAGCCTTATAGATGTAATACTGTATTTAGTTTCCAATTTCCAATTCTTCCTCCGCGGTTTTCACTTCCAGATTTCAACTCGTGCTTCCCCCTCACTTCAGCCCGTCTAAACCCTACTAGTCACTGTCACTTTCACTGTCGTCCCTCCTCGATCTACCCCTGCTCAATCTCAATTCGTGTTCTCTTTTTCCTTCTTTCTCTCCTACTCGATCCATTGATTAAACTCATATCAGGGGGCTCGATATTCGTCACATTCACTTGCATTTGCCTAAGGTCCACAGCTCCAATATTATGGTTCCCGCCAACGTTATGGTGTCCACCAACATAAGTGCCACGACGATGCGGTGGGGGAAGATTGCGCGGTTTTTGTGACGGAGTCTCAGAGGGAGCATAGCTATCACGACTATGTGATATATGTGTCCGATTGCTAGAGGGAGCATAGTTGTTACAATATGCTTGGAGAGCAAGATCGTGGAATGGTGACCGATTGCCAGAGGGATGAAAGGCAGAAGCATATAATTCAGGAGGAGGAGGAATGTACGATGGCCTGGAAGTCTGAGAAGGGCGTTCAGAATGGTGGCTTTGTTGGTACTCGTCGTGTGATGGTACATTCGAACCTTCTCTGTAATGATCTTCTCCATTGACTGATCTTAGCCCGGTTTTGGGATCACCATCCAATATGCCTTCTTCAGTATTGCGTTTTACATCCTCATTCCACTTTGCAACTCTCTCTCCCTCTCTCTCTCTCTCTCTCTCTCTCTCTCGGGCGGGATCTCGGGGGTGGAGGTTCAAGCTCGCTCTGCCTCGATAGCTTTGCCATTTCGTGTGTGGATCTGCGGGTTTTTTTTAGATCCGGGAACGCTATCTCTAGATTTTCTCTGTAGATACAGATCTTCCATCCTTCCAGTCCTTCTTATATAAACTTCCTCTCCCTTCTTCTGGCACCATAATTTCCCGATCTACTTTCATGTCAATACTGGACTTCTGACTAGTGCATTGAGATGTGGGCAAACGCATATTGCCCAGAAGTACACGACCTTGTATCAAATGCTTGCGAGTCAGTATCCCTTTTGCGGGCCCTAGGCTTTGAAGCTATTTTTATCATTGCCAGCATCCACAACAATTCTTCATCTCGAGAAAAACGCACGGCGAGCAGTTGCGACAGATGCCTCCGACGGCGCACGTATACTTCCATCCCTGCTGCTGCGGCTCCAGCTCCTGGGAAATCCTGTTATTATCAGCATTGTTACATCAAGTTTTAGTACCCAGCACCTGCACCGACTTACCCCCATTAGCACCATATCTATCCATAGAGATCGGTGGCCTCTTTTCCCTCTTACTCGTCACACGCGCAGTAGTAATACTTCTACTTCTGGCATTCAGTATCCCTGTCGTTACGATATGAAGGAGGGGGACGTTCGTAATCCCTTCTACTACTGCTTCTGCTTCTGGCATCACATTCGGCTTCACGCTCGCGTCTACCCATAATATAAGAGCTTCAAGATGTCAAAGTGAAATGATAGGACGAAGTTTCCAAATTTTCTTGATAATCACAAGTAAAACAAATAAGTAATTCTCACGAGGAAGATACTGAGAACGGACTACTGGGAGCATTCATATTTAATAAAGCAGACATCAATACAATTAATGAAGGTAAAAGACATGTGTGTAAACCATCATTATGCATGGTGACCATGGACTAAACCTTGATGCCCCTATAAACATGACATTAGACATTTGCGATGGTCAATGTTGAGGCTCTAGCCACATTTAAACACGGCCATGGTGTTTTGTGGGATTGTAATAGAACGATGGAATTAAGACCAACGTCATAAACAAATACGGCCAATATTTGATCTACAAGTCGACCTACCACAGTATCAATTTATTATGCTTTAGCGCTTGCCGAAGCAAATTATTTGGATAGCATTATGATCAAAACAAATAGAACAGCCACAGAAGGTTCCGAAAATAAGGTTAGATGGAGATTGTCAACTCGATCATGAAAAGGTGGGCTTGATCGAAATCGTATTGAGCATTTGACGTCTTTACTTTGACGTGTAACCAAAGCATCTTGGAAGTTCCTCCGGCGCTTAATGACCATTGTTGATCGACATCTTGATTAATCCTTCTGGAACCCAATTTCACATATTCACACCAAATTCGCAATCGTTGTATGTGGACCATAAGTTGAGGCAGGGTATGATTTCATTTTTCTTTATCCGGTCTCATCGAATATCGGCATCGATCATGCAGCGCGATGCTTTTCCCTTGTATATCATAAGTGAGACCTATCCCGTGCCGCAGAAAAAATAACCCGTAGAAACAAACATCCATCCCAAGCCATTTAAACCTCAGCGATTTCTCTCAATCTGCGGAGAGTCGATCTCATAGCAGCGGCGGCAGGGGTTCTGTTGTCGAATATGTTAGTAAATTGGAATAACTTAATTCGAATCGTGGGCTCATACGTGACGGTGTAAGCTCCTCCAGCAACGGTCTTCTTGCATGATTTGCAATCCCAGATACCAACGGAGTGTCTCTTGACGGTGGTCTTTCCACAGAAGGTGCAGACGTATCTTGCGTGTTGAGTGATTTCCATCTTCTTGACTTGCTTTCTGAGGGATGCACCGTATCTATTTGGGGAAAAAAGCAATTAGCCAGTTGTTTGTTGATTCGTTTGGTTTTCTATTTTGATTCCATCTGCTGCAAGTATTGATTTGTTGATCCTCCTCCGTTGTTGAAAATTCCTCGATTCCCATCACAACTCAACAACGTGTTGAAAAGCCGCAGATTCTTCCTTCTAATGATATTTGGGTGTGTAGAGTTTGTAGAGCTGGAATAATCGCATACCTGGTACCGTATTTACCGGTGACTCCGACCTTCTTGGTTCTCTTTGTCATCTTGGCGGTATTTTGCGTTGATGAACGGTGATGAGGAAATTGAAGATTTGTCGCAATGTACTTGATGGGAATTATTTTGGTCAAATTCGTCGTGGGATTCGGTTAATAGCCCCATTACGCTAGTCCCCAATGGAAAGTCTCAGAATGATGTTCGTCACATGACATACAATCACATTTTCAGATTCTGTAAAATCTTATTATTGTGTTATATATGAAATCTTCTTTATAAATCACAATGGAGCATAGGTATACAAAGAGTGAGATTTAATATGATATGTTGGCACATTTATATATACTGTCTATAACATCTTCCGTTGTACTCATCATGAGCGTTCCCTACTACGAATTGATCGATATGCTCTCTTTAAGTTTCAAATCGAAGAATTGAAAGAACAAAGCCTGGTTAAACCTCGGCAAGAATATTGATCTGGAAACAGGATGTTGATGTGATAGTAAAACATCGTACTTGTCCATTAAATTACATATAATCAAGTGATATTTCACAATTCTCTTGCGTTCTACATTTATATACAAAAACAATGTCTTCAGATAGAGAGTACGAATTGGTCATCTTCGGAGCCACAGGATACACAGGAAAACTTACAGCGGAACATGTTGCCACACATCTACCTACAGATCTTCGTTGGGCTTTAGCAGGTCGTTCTGCCAGCAAGTTAGAGGCTGTTGCAGCTGAATGCAAGTCTTTAAGTCCGGATAGAGTACAACCAGGTGTGTAAGATTCTTAATTACAATTCCAACAGTTTGTGTACCCCTTTGATATCACGTGCGATACATGATTGGTATTCCATAGGTATTATCATCCTCGTTTTTAACTAACACCTCACTCATTATAGCCATTGAAATCTGTAACTTAGATGATGCAGAGCTAAGTGCATTGGCTAAAAAGACAAAGGTCATCCTGGCAACAGTTGGCCCTTATGCTCTTCACGGCGAACATTGCTTCAAAGCATGTGCCGAAAATGGTACACATTATTTCGATGTCACAGGAGAAGTACCATGGGTAGCTAAGATGATCAAGAAATATGAAAGCAGCGCTAAAGCTAGTGGCGCTGTTCTCATTCCTCAATGTGGTATTGAATCCGGTCTACCTGATTTGATTACTCGATGTGCTGTTGATGCTGTTCGGGAAAGACTATCTGCACCTACTGGTGAAGTTATCGTATCTTTACACGAGATGAAGTAAGCTATAGCACTTAAATTGGAATATCTGGATAACCAATGGACTAATATCTTTTAGAGCCAAACCTTCCGGAGGAACCTTAGAAACAGTTTTCACACTCCTGGAAGTATTCAACCTTAAGCAACTCAAAGATGCATTTACTCCATACGCTCTATCTCCAATACCTGGACCAAAAGTTCGCCCATCTACATCTCTCATCACCAAACTTACCGGAATCAAAGTAGTACCGGACTTAGGAATTCTTACCACTTCTCTTGCAGGGTCAACTGATTTAGCTATCATTCATCGAAGTTGGGGGTTATCTAGCGAGCAGCAATTCTATGGTCCTAATTTCAAGGTCGAGGAATACATGAAAGCAAGAAACTATCTCACTGGCATAGCGATACACTTTGGTCTCATTCTTGGTGGTCTATTCTTGTCAATCCCATTTTTCAGACATACGGCCAGGAAATATGTTTATCAACCAGGAGACGGAGCCACAAAAGAGGAAACCAAGTCTGATCGAGTCGAGTTCCGAGCTATTGCTAAACCGGACAATGATCAAGCAAATCCTCCGAGAATCTTCTGTCGGGAATATTATGAAGGTTCAATCTATGGATGTAAGTGAAATAACATAGCCTGGGATGTTTTCGGGTAACTAATATGATGCAGTGACTGGTTTATTGATTGCCCAGGGTGCAATTTCATTACTTCGAGATGATCACAAACTGTCAGGTGGTATCTATACTCCATCTATGCTGGGTGAGAAATACATCAATCGCCTTCAATCCGCCAATGTCAAATTTGAGACGAAGGTATTTGAGAATTGATTTGACTGCAAAGTTTCGAAACTGGTGACTGTATTGGGATTGTAGATTGGTGTAACAATATGGCGAAGCAACAAAGCAGTGGAAGCAGAATGTAAAATAAAATATTATCATGTGCTACCATAACGGGAATCATTGATTCCGAAAGATACATCTACGTATTGACATTGTGGATCGATATGAAATCCAGCTCAGTATATCTTTAGCTCATACCAGTGTATGCTTTCGAGGAATTTGTTGAAGTTGAGTACACTCTCTTTCATTTCTTCATGGTGATATTTGTCAATTTCATCTATAGTTTCGATGGTATCAATGAATACTTAACAATCATTACCGAGGTGTCAATAACCAGCGAGAAAAATCTGCAGTATCGCCAGCAAACGAGCGGGCAAACTAATCTGCCAAGTGCTTTTTAGGCATTCATTGTCAAGCTAGCGGAATGAATGGATTGCTTTTATTAAGAACTGAATAGCCGCAGCTCATACAAATTGGCATATTAAAATTTACTCCATCACGAGTGCTGGAATCAAGCCACACCAGAAACACAAATAAGGGGAGCAGCTGTCGTTGTACTACCACAAACGCCCGCAAGGCGGATTAATGAGGCTCTTTATGCAAGATATCCGATAGTTCGGATTGTTGGTCGGCTTGCACGTGAGCATGGCCTTTCAAGCCTTTTGTGTTTCTTCAATTCAACATGATATTCAAATGGAGATCGTATGTTGAATGGTCTCAAGGCGGATCCAATATACTGGCTCGCCTTTTGGAAATCAATTCCGGGAGGCAAATCTTTGACGGGCCGCATAATTTATGTCTTAATCCCTTCACTCGTATTGTGCTAGAGTATTTTGCGCCATCAATTCTCCCCGCGCACATGATGAGCTTCGTTAAGGTAGTAACGAAAAACTACCTAGGTAGACTCTTGTCCCGATAGTTACATTGTTTCAACCCAGAAAAGAAAAGTAACAGACCAAACAACTCAACCTTAATTGAAAAGAAAGGGTTATATAAGATGATGATGAAGAAGAAATGGAACATGGAAAAATCTCCTGTCCCTAAATAGTATGTCCCATTGGACTGGAGTTTCCCTCCTATATAAAACAAATGAAATGTGATAGAAACTTTCTCCTTTTTCCCAAAAAAATGCCAGTGGACGAAAGTCTTCATTACCGCCAAAGTTTTCTTTGAAGAACTAGACGTGAGAAATAAGAAAAATCGCGCCAGTTCCACTTTTTGCCCTGGCATGATGGCATGAATCCGCCACCATTCTACACCGACAACTTTCCACAAAACCGCAAGCCTTCAGTATACTAGGTAATCAAACATACAACCACTGCCCCTTTTCTCTTCCGATGCCGGCAAGCCTTTCTTCCTCCAAACCGCATCATGTATTCTGCTAATCAATAGCCCCACTAACAAGATCCAGGGGAATATAACAAAAAGATAAATCTCCACCGGAGCCGCAAACTCGATCCAGAGAAAAACCGATGAACCGAAGGCAAGAATGACCATTGGAGAGTGCAGTTTCTCATGTTTCCCAATATCGTGAATCCATGCTATCAGTCCAATTGATGTGCAGACAAAAATGGCAGTTGTAAGCTCTGATGTTGGGCCGAGGCTGGAGGATGGAATCTCGGGTATTGTGTCGTTTTTGAGGAGGAGAGAAAGGCTCGATATATCGAAGCACTACCGGAAGTTTTAGCTTTGGGTTTTCGCAGTCTACAAGAGTACTGTGAACTCACTTCTTGATATTGACTTCTGATACAGCGAGTGCTAACAATCAGCGACCCTGTCGCGATGAAAAAATCGGAAAATTTCATGACAGCAAAAGATATCTTTGCGCAAAGAAACCAGACGGTTTCGAAGATCTTTTCACTTGCAATCGAAGGAAAAGTTTCTCGGAAACTATATGCCTCCCTTATTTGAAAATCACACCAGATAAGAAGAGCGAAACTGTCAGATATATATTCACGCATTATACCTCTCAGGCTGTGTAAACGAGATCATTGGCTCGCGAGTCTACTTATAGGTTCACGAGGATTCTGCCTTGCTTTTGTAGCACCTCGCTATGACCTCTGCAGTGCTACTCTTACAGTCATTGCAATTATTATTATTATTCCAAGCTCGAGAGTGCTTGCCCGGTTTCCCAGGACTCCGGAGCATATAAGTCGATTTTGCCGCTCCCTTACATATTGTTGCCGTTTCTTTCGACACTGGATTTAAGATACATGCAGTTTTTATCTCTGTACCGGATATATCTTCTTGCTTTATGTTTCGTACCTGCGGGCAAAGGAGTTGCGAGATAGTTTATGCGAGCCTGAATTTTGGAGACGAAAGGCTGGGTGTTCTGCCGAGTTCGACCAAAACGTCATCTAAAAAAAAATTATTTTACTGGAACTGCATTCTACTTGAACTTCATTCTACTAGAACTTTGTTCTCTATCTCTCACTGTCCCTTCGAATAAACCGTTGAGCCTCAACCACCACTCTTCGCCCGCCAAACATAAGATAGCCAAGCTATTCAAAGGTCAAAAACACTGGTATCCAAACACACAACCCTTCTCACCTCATCAACCCAACTAACCAGTCCCCAAACAGCCATGACCTCCCTTGGCCTCCACGAAATCCTTCCCCTCCACCATCCTCCTCCCACACCCCGACAACAACCCCGCCATCTCGCCCACACCCTTACCAAGCCCCTCTTCTTCATGCTTCACCTCCGTACTTGCAAACCCCTCGCAACCCTCTCCTTCATCTACGCTCTCTCCATCTCCGGTCCCTCGGCTCCGCAATTTGATATCCTCACTCTGCATGAAACATCTCGTGGGTGTTTTATCTTGGCGTGGGTCTTCCATTCCTCGTTTAATATTCAGATATATATATATAGCTAACAAAACACATCACAGAATACTATTCCTCTGGACTCTCTTCTTTTTCCAATATCTGCACGTAAGACGTTGGGGTTCGCGTAATGCAGAGAGTAATCGTAGATACAGGGAATTGCGGGATGTGTAAGTATTCCTCTTTCTTTCCTCTACAGCTACGCACATGCACATACCATATCATACACTCCCCCTCTAACACACCAAACCCCCAGACAATTCCTAACCTGCATCCTCCTCCTCATCATCCTCGCATTTTACCTCCTCCGTCTCAGCACCACCTTATCCAAAACCGAAATCGCAGAATTAACAACAAAAGCCCTATCCATGATTCCTGTCGCGTTAACATTCCTCATCGTCATTTCGGAGAAAATTATGATTTGTGTGGTGAGTGGTGTGGTTTATGGAGTACCGATTTTGAGACGTGGCATGGGGGGAGTGAGAAGGGGAGTGTTGGGGGCGTGGGCGGAGGTCACTAGACGCTTGGGGTATGTGCCGTGAGGAGAGGGGGGGGGGGGGTTAGGAGTTTGGGAAATTTAGGGTTTGTATGCGTTATGGGGCTTAGGGAATTTGTGTGGTTTATCGAAGGAAGCAAGAGTTGAGTTCAAACTCGGGTGTGTGGTTTATCCAAGGATACATACATACATACATATTTTCATATTCTGGATCGGATTGGATTAAATTGGATTAGCGCATAACAGATCGAACAGAATCCGCCTATGCGCGGGCTTTTCGAGCGGATAATTATCAGTACTAAGGTTCATAGAGTCGTTGTTCAAATGAAATGCGAGGTTTTTGTCTTATTATGTTTTTATCGTATTGTATGGTTTGTGTGTTGGATAGGTATGTGTATGATTTTTTGAAGGATATTTGAGAAGATTTGCGGACACAACGGCAAATTACTCTCATACCCTAAAATTGAAAGGTGATTTACTCTTATGCCCCCTAGATTCTATATAGAATCTATCCTTCTATTATAGAATCTAATCTCCTTCTATAGAATCTAGCCTCCTCATAGAATCTAGCCTCCTTTTATAGAATCTAGCCCAAAATGAATAAAATTTACAATAGAATCCAAGGGGCATGAGAGTAATTTGCCGTATATATATATATATGGCAGAATGCGTCGGTTCATCTACTGGAGAGACACTCCATGCTAATTCCGATTATAGTCTCATATTTTGTACTATTACAATTTACATGCGAAGATGAGGATTGAGGAGTACGAGTTCAGATATTTCCTATTACTAAATGAACAGTCGTCATAACACAAGACAGACAGACTATCTTTTCAATTACTATTATCTCATCCCCGCCCATTACCAAAATCTACCATCCATAGCACCCCACTCATCACCAAGCCAATCTCCCTATCCAACTCTCCGGCCATTTCCTAACCCCCCACTTCCTCCCCTCATCCAGCATCAAAATGCCCACTCCAAACGCCGCTGGTAAAAAGAAATGTTCCACCGGAACACTACTCGTTCCCAGCACACTTTGCAACTGCGGGATATAGAGCCAGAAAATCGCCATTACCAATGCGAACAGAATCGCAGGGAAAATATACAGATTTTGCGTTTCTTTGTTGAAAGCCGGAGGATGCTGGAAGATACTGAGACGACGGGTGCGCAGAGCCATGAGGTTGAACCATTGCCTGAGAGGATGTTAGTACATGATATGGAAAATAGGGAATGAAAAAAATGGATGAAAGGAGAAAAAACCTACATAACCACCAAATTAACAAAATAAATACTCGATGCCTCGGCCAATCTCGCATTCGCATAATCCTGATCGATCCCCTCTGGTAAACTTCCATATTTAAACCACAGATCTGTGAATGGAATTCCGTTCCGCTGTAAATACCAATACGACATTGCGAATGAAGATGCCGTTTCAATCACACCTATAAATCCATACGCTTGAAGAATAAGTTGCCAATCGACTAATCTGTCTGTTTTGGTATTTCGCGGTTTGCGGAGAAGAACGTCTGCTTCAGGGGCTTCGTACGCGAGGACTGTAGCCGCGGCGCAATCGGTGAAACAACTTTTTGTGAATTGTTAGTTGATACTAACGAGTAGAATATGGGCTGTAATGAAAGGAAGATACATACCAGATAATAATCATCAGAAACGAAGACAATATTTGCGGCAACCCAAACGCCACATTTGTCATGACTGGCCAAAACTCCGAAAATGATCCCGCGGGCAATAGATATGCGATCGTCTTTTTCAAATTGTCAAAGACCACTCTTCCATATTGGACTGCCTCAACAACAGCACTAAATGACTCGAGAAGAACCATATCTGCAGCTTCAATCGCTATATCCGAGCCGCTTCCAAGTGCGATCCCAATATCAGCAGCTTTGAGAGAAGGAGCATCATTAACGCCGTCACCAGTCATTGCAACAATCTCATCACGTTTTTGAAATTCGCGGACGATTCGTAGCTTTTGTTCAGGTGTTGTGCGGGCGAAAACGATTTCGTCGTATTTGCATAGTTGATCCCATTGACTGTCATTGAGAGTGATTATTTCTGGTCCGCTTAGAACAATAGAACTTATCTGCGGAGTGATTGCATGGTCTTTGCTTTCATTTTCGGACTGAGAAGCTGATTCGGAAACGATTTTATTTCGTGATAGGGAATTCACATCTTTTACCATGTTTGGGGAATTGGTGATGATTCCGCATTCTGTAGCAATTGCTTGAGCAGTCAAAGCAAAATCTCCAGTTACCTATCACTATGTCAGTATGTTTCATGGAATGAGATGAATATGAGTTTCCTACCATAAAAAATCGGATTCCAGCTCGTCTCAATGTAGATACGACGGAAGGTATTTCATCGCGGGGAGGATCCACAATACCGAGGATGCCCACCAATGTAAGACCAGATCGTGCATGGGATGATATCTCCTTTTCAAAGCGACTTGAATCCGGAGTTGTTTTCAACTCGTCTTTCTTGACAATCTTTCGTGCTAGTAAAATGACACGTCTGCCTTCTGCCGACCAGCCATTCTTGATTTCGTCAATCTTTCTACGTACATCGTCGTCGAGAGCTTTCGAATTACCGTCGATAGTGGTGTACATTGAACATCTACCAATCAAGATGTCCGGTGCACCTTTGATGGTCAGTAGACTGTGGTAAACAAAAAGTTAGTCATGATCTTTCATTGGATGGTGGCATCTTACGTATCATCCGAGGCAAAACTTGTCGCTTCTTCGCTAGGAAGAGCATAAGAACGGCCTTCGGGCTCGGTGAGTGCTAATGTTCGTACCATGAACTTATTTTTGCTATTGAAAGCCAGTTCAAAAGTTTTCCGCCACATGTTTCGGAGTTCAGAGACAGGACCGAGCGACTCGGAAAATCGTAATACAGCTTGATCAGTAGCATCACCGTTGATCTTTCTATCGGAAAGTGGTAGGTGCATTGTACTGGCGTCAAACTCTCCAGAGTTGCAAAGTCCAGCAATTAACCTCATTTGAGAGATCGCAGTATTGTTTCGACCACTTGAAGTCATCTCATCTTTGGCCGATTGTGGAGTCATACTATGTGTTCCCATACAGCATTCTGTAACAAACATTTTGTTCTGAACAGAATTAGCTTCTGTGGTGATTAGGGTCAGAGAAACGGGCATGCCTTTGTCAAAGTACCTGTCTTGTCTGAACAGATGACACTGACCGCTCCTAGAGTTTCCACCGTCTTCAATGACTTGCAAAGAATTTTGTTCTTACGCATTAGATTCGCTGTTATCGTAAGTGATGCCGTTAAAGCAATAGGGAGACCCTCAGGAATGAATGCAATGGCGACAGAAACGCAATCAACAATCAGAGTTGGTACGTTGATCCAATCAGGGTATGATTTTCTCAAGTATGCTGCCCTATATACAGATCAGCATTTGGAATCCGCAAGTACCAAGACTTATGTGATAGACGTACCATATAATGATAACAAGAACAATCATGGTTACCATAAAAGCAACAATCACAAGGACAAAGTTAAAGACTTCCCGCTCAAGAGTAGTCATACCAGTCTTCGGAGTGTTGGTAAGTTGAGCAATCCTTCCAAAGACTGTTGTGTCACCGGTAGCAACGACGATGCCAATGCCACTTCCAGAAATGCAATGAGTTCCTTGAAGGCCGATACACTTTGTCTCCAAGTAATTTTCATCTGTATTGTCAACCATTCCAGAAAGCGGAAGTGACTCGCCTGAATTATTCAATCAGTATCATATCAGGAAGCGTGGAAATATTTGGGGAAAATACCAGTCAGAATGGAACGATCAAACTTTGCATCCGAAGACATTTCAATGAATCGTACATCAGCAGGAAGCTTATTACCAGCTTTTATATAAAGAACATCTCCAGGAACAATATCGCTAGCAATGACAGTGACACGGGCTCCATCTCTTAATAACAAACAATTATCAGGCAACATAGTAGTAATTGAAGCCATGACTCTGGATGAAGACCAATCTTGCCAAGCATTAAAGGCGGCTTGTATGAAAAAGACGGCCAAGAGAACGATAGCTAGTGCTAGGTTTGCTTGTGAGGGCGGGTCTCCGAGAGGTTTCCAGGAGACGAAAACGAGAATAGCGCCGACTAGGAGAATGGATCCAAAGCCTTTGAAGAAGTAACCGAACCAAGTTTGAAAGAGATGATTTGGAGGATGTGATGGTGCATTCTTTCCATATTGCGATAGTCTTCGGTTTACTTGTTCTTTCGACAAACCTTGGGATGTGGATGTTGATAGGCGCTTAAGAACTTCGTCTGGTGTAATTAAATGCCAATCCAGATCAGCAAGTGCTTAAAGAAATGTCAGTATCGTGATATAAACTCAAGCATGATAACACAAACCCTTCGCTGCCGACTTTTTAGCGAGTTGTACTTCCGCTGCATTCTTTTCTTGGGATCCTGAGATTTGGAATGAGACCGTTCTGTATTGGATAGGAAGTGCCGATGATAACTCAATTGATGAACGCCTATGAGGTCGAATACTTAAACTATCATGATCGGTAGAGACTCTAGAATTGCTGCGCTCTAGAGGTGATGAGACTTTGACTCCAGATTCCACATCAGCGTAATGGATACGGCGATGGAATTGCTCTTTTTCTCCATCTTCTAACATCTTCGTCAAGTAACCACCACTTAAGGGGTTGTATGTGCTAGAAATCGTTTGATGCGCGGATAATCGATGAGAAGCTGAGAATGAGGAAGGTGACTTGATTGAGTGATGCTGAGCGCATACAATAGGATAACCTCTCTCGATATCTAAGAAGTTAAGAAATTTATGAATTTACATTCTTACATATCAGTCGAAGGGATCAATATATGCATATTTGAAAAACGTAAAGAACCCATTTCGTCTCATCTCATCCCACCCTATATTTTCACCTCGAAAGAGCTGACAGACCCGTGGACAGCTAAGCTAGAAAGATACTCGAAATTAGACGTAAGTAGTGAATTCATCCAGAATAGGAATTATCCCCTATCACATTTGCATCCCGCCTTTTGATAGAATCTTGCTGTGCGTCATGGATAAACTACATCACGATAAATCGCTCATACTAACTCCCCACAGAACAACAAACTGAATACTTTCACAGGCAACAAACAAGCGGCTGATACTCATATGATTCATTGAAGTATGGAGACCGAAGAACTGGCACAGAAGCTGATTGGAATTCCCAAACATCCCGCTGTTTGTCGCATTACATTATGAATATTACAATTTGCACTTGCTAATGTAAAGTTCCCAGTTTCCCAAACCTCAGCGAACGACTCAGCCACTCCACTTCTTTACTAAAATTCGCAATTTCATTTCCCTTTGAGTTTTGAGTTATCGATGAAATTTTTTGGCGGTTGTTGGAATATGCATTGGATGTTGGAAAATGCCTCATAGAAGAAAAGAAAAAGATCCCCTGGAAGATTCCCCGACCAATGATTTTAACCGAAGTAAGCCCCCAGTCCTAATTGAACATCCCATTATCAAAACGTGCAAAACTTCATTTTACTGTACATAAGAAAAACTCATTCTTCCTTCTATCATGAAATACCTCATACATTTTTTTTTGAAGGATTTCGAGGTCTCCCTAGACCTTGAATTTTCAAATCTTGCTGAGTATTGTTGGGAAGTGTAATTTGTTTGCTGTACCTTCCGCATCTGGAAATCCGTGCAACCTCGGCGTTTGTTACTCCTGCAGAAGCCTGGGGAAGATCCAAGCGAATATTTTCGTAAGTTGGAACGTTAGTTTGATGCAATATGTATTCGTTTTACTTCATGTTGTCAGCTAAATCTGGGGTAGAAAGAGTTCCCCAACTAGAATACATGTGCTACTGCATGACAATTCTACATGTCGTATGATACAAAAAGCAACAACAGGAACAAACCTATCAAAAACTTTACGTATGCTACAGCTAGGTATCTAATACTTACTCAGTTTAAATTGTCCAAGAGGTACCATTCATACACATCAATAAAGGATGAATATCCTTACAATGCAAGTCATGACACCGCTTTACTTGGACTATCGTTCTGGTCGTTTTTTCTTTCGTCAAATATACCTTTTCAGTAAAAAGGCATGAGCTGTGTATGACCACAGCGGTTGTGGTGTTATTGCAGAAATCCTTCTACCAAGTTAATATTCTCAAACACATATATATATATATAACCCAGTGGACTGCTGAGAATATGTCCCATCATCGATGACCACCAGACCAGCATTCAGCCATTCAATATCATTTCCCCAACCTGTCTGACACTCTCACTCTCTACGATTTCATCCAAGTCACCTCTTACCCCCATCCACCTATCATACACTCACTCTTTCACCTCACACACCCCATCAGCCAATCACACTCACCAACTCCCTCATGCCCTCCCTACCCCTCGAATTCTTCACCACCTTCTTCTCCCTCCTCATATCCAGCCACCGCAACATCCATCGCTTCTACCCCCAATTCCTCGCAAGTTCCTCTTTCCTCTTCCTCTCCCATCTCCCATCCAAACACCCACTAACCTCTCTCCCAGCCCCAACCACTCCTCTTCAAATCGAACTTCCTCACTTGTCCCCAAAACCCCTTCATAACGAATCTCATCAACGCAAGCATACTCCTCCTTCCCATCATTTTACTTTTCCGGCTTTATAAACGAGGCTTTCATGAGAAATTTCATGATTTTATCGTTCCTTTTGCTTTTTGTATTGTGTGGGGAATGTTTATCTTTGAGGGAAAGGAAGAATTGGTGAAGACTGATGTTGTGGTGTTTACGATTTTTCCTTGGTTGGTGTTTTTAGGGTTGTTGGTGAGTTGTATTTGCGGATGATAGGTTTAGGGATAGAATTGATTTGCATTTCTATTGAACTACCAAACCAAACACAATAAGAACACAGAGGAAGTTCCTCATTCT